AGACCAAGGCAGAAGGAGATCCAAAGCTTAAGAGCTGAAGTTAGACACACTCAAACTGGAAATAAGAAGCACATTTTTGACAATCAGGATATTTAGCCACTGTCCCCAGGGTCGTGGTAAATCTACTGTCACTTGGAGTCTTTCAGTTCAGAATGGATTGATTCCTAAGAGAGACATTTGACCTGAATGCATTAGGCTGGGGAGTGTTCATTTATACCAGCGGGGGGAGCGGGGAGAGGAAGTGGTGGTGGTGGTGGGGAATAAATCCCTATGCTCCCCAGGGATGACTGGGAAAATTCTGAGACCGGTGTGATGCAGGTTGGATTAGATGTTTCCAGTGGTCCCATCTGACCTTAAAATCTCTATGAAACATTCTGAACACTCAAAATATAGATTAGTGGTCACAGCTAGTATGAACTAATGCAGAAGGACGACCTCGTGGCTAAGACACTGGGGACACATGGGATACGAGACACCTGGGTTCAAATCTCCTGCGCTGCCATGGACTCTGTGTGACTGTGGGCAAGTCACGCTGAGCTCAGTTTTCAGAAGTGCTGAATCTCAGCTGAAGTCAAAGGGAACGTGTGCTCACACCCTAAGCATCAGGCCCCTAACTTCTGTGACAGTTCTCCAGGTTCTCTTAGAATGGAGGTGGCATTTCCCTACCTTGCTGTGGGTAAGGAGGATAAAATCCATTAATGTTTGAGGCATGCAGATACTGTGGGCAAGGAAGCCATAGATATACCTAGAGAGTTAAAACTGCCCTTGGGAGGCCTGTGAACAGCACTAATCTTGGGGGACCAAATCTTGCTACCAGCTGCCCTGATTCATTCCTCCTTGACAGAAAGGGCCATTCTGCTCTCAGTTACATCCAGGTAAAAAGGCAAAATGTTAATCATGAATAAGAGAAGCTTCCAATGTTATTACCATCTTCTGTGTATCCCTTAACACCACAGGGCCACCTGTAGCAGCTTACATAAAACATGCTTCCCAGCACACCTTTCTACCTGTCTGCCCAGAATATCAATTACCTAAACATTCAGAAGTACAATACAGAATTAGAAAGCAGATGTGTAGACATCACAATCTGCCACAGCTGCATTCCATAAGCACTGGACAGTCCAGATCTATTGGATTAATGTTGACAAGGAGCTAAGGATGGGTGCAAGGTCTCCAGAGCCAGTGTGGAGTCCCCTTGCCTTCTGTGGATCTGCCAAGATCCATGGGGTTCAAGGTGGAACTGTGGCACATTCAATATTGGATGATTTGGGGGAAACTTGATGAAAGGCTCATCACAGCATTCTCCTCCCCCTTAGTCTCCCTCTCCGGAGTTTCCCATGCAGGGAGGTGAGTAATATAGGGGTAAATAATTCAGTAACTTGGTCCTGAATTTCTAGAAATGACTATGCATTACTAAATATTACTATTTGCAGTGTTATTACAGATTCCTCACAGAGTGGATGAATTCTTACATCACTCTTAGGAAATTAATGGACTTATTTTAAATAACACGTTTCTTTGATTATCATTCCATAACCAATGTGTACAGAATACCACACATCCAGAGAGGTGTTAATTTCAACAACGGGCACCCACAGTGCAGTGTCATGGATTCTGCGCCTGGTCGCAGAGATGAACCCACTTTATAAACAGTCTGAAAATCAGTGAAAGAACAGAGAAGGGGAAATTGGAGGCAGTGTGCCCAGCTCAGTGCAGGTGCCTTGTCTGGCCACAGTGAGAATGTCAGGGAATGCTGGAATGTGTAATCATCGGTTGAAAAGTGAGTGTAGACTGTGTACAAACAGTTACACAACCACATGGGCTGGACTTGCTCTGAACAGGATTAGCTGTTGCAGTGATCAAAATGCCTGTGTCCCATCTTGCTACATTCTGGGGCTTGGATTCCTACGAGGCCCATTGCAGACACAGACATTAGACCTCTAACTCTACCAAACTGTATCCAAGAGTCGATGCTCCTGGATGGCCTTGGGGAAAGGTTCCAAGCATTGTTCTTTCTTGGTGTAAGGGCCACTTGAAACTTAGCTGCCTGATTTGAAACCTTATGAGCGGTGACCTAGTGCTTTCATTACATGAGATTAAAAGAGCTGGACTGGGATCAGAAGGGTGGGGGATGCTGAGGAGAGAACAATAGAAATTGTATGCCTGGGTAAACATGTTTGGGAGGACGTTTAAAGCAGCAGAAAACCCAACTCTCCTTCACCGATTTCCAGCCCTCCTCTCCTTACCACATTTTACAAACTTCAGCTATACATAGAAGGCTAAAAACCTAACTTGTTTCAAGACTGAGCTTGATCAAGTGTCTAAAGGGGATGGTAAGATGAGACTGCCTGAACCCACGACATGTACAGGGAATACAGGGACTTGACAACTGCTGGTGCTGTTACATAGTGCTACCATGATATGGGTGCCCGCCATTGTGCCTGTGCTCACTTTATTCAGATCATGAAGGTTGAGGAGATTGCTGCTAGCAAGTGCCGTAGACCTGCAGTCAAGCAATTCCATGATTCGAAAATCAAGTTCCCTTTGCCACACAGAGTTCTGCGTCGTCAGCACAAACCACGTTTCACCACCAAGAGACCAAAGACATTCTTCTAAATGCAATAACATTCTGTTTGCTCTGTGTTACAATAAAATTCTTATTGGAGAAAAAAAAATGACATGCAGCCAATCTGTGACTGCTAGCCGCAAATATCTCCAACTGCTGGCACTGGGACACTAGAGGGAGGAGGACTCTGAGTTACTACAGAGAATCCTTTCCAAGGTGTCTGGCTGGTGGGTCTTGCCCACATGCTCAGGGTCTAACTGATCGCCACATTTGGGGTAGGGAAGGAATTTCCCCCCAGGTCAGATTGGCAGAGATCCTGGGGGGTTTTAGCCTTTTCTGCAGCACGGGCCACTTGCAGGTTTACTCTGGTATAAATGGTGGATTCTCTGTAACTTGAGGTCTTTAAACCATGATATGAGGACTTCAGTAACTCAGCCAGAGGTTAGGGATCTCTTACAGGAGTGGGTGGGCGAGGTTCTGTGGTCTGCATTGTGCAGGAGGTCAGACTAGATGATCAGGATGGTTCCTTTTGGCTTTAAAGTCTATGAGTCTAAGAGGCAACAGGTGCACAACAAACAGCTAAGCTCATTGCGTGCAATGCCTCAGCAGTGCACCACACATTACAGAACCCACAGTGCATCGTGCAAGACTTCGAACTGTACAACACCCAACAGTACACACAGGCCTACAGAAAACACTAAGTGACTCCCAGAAAAGGGATTGCACGCTTGCGGTTAATCCCATGTACTACAGCCTATCCTAGGGAAAAGCACCATCAATCTTCAGCCGATAAACGTCACACACTGTTGTTACCCACCGAACTCTGAACTGTTCCCATGTGAAACCTAATGCTGTCTGGGCAAAAATCCTGTTAACGAGCTTTGTGTTTGAGTTTGTCCTGAACCTATAGGACATCCTGCTAAAGATCTAAAGAAAACATGCACAGGAACGGGAAATCCATTCATTGTTTCCGCCTATTTACACTGCACTCAGGGGAGGCACATGCCCCCGCAGCAAAGCGTCCATGGCGTGATTAAAGCAGACCCAGGCTCTGCTGCACCATTGCCAGCTCTTCACAGCGTCCTGGGAAGGAGCCCACAGTCTCCCATTGCTAACACTGCACATATGCTAGCGCCCCTCAGCGATGGAAACAGCACGTCCAGTGTGTGCTCTGTTTAGAACACATGGACGCCTGACAGAGACGGCCCCTGCGCACAGCCTGAAAAATAGTCATGCTGTTTAGTCGATTTAAGTCCATTTATCAACATTAAGTGGGCCAGGACTCTATTTGGAAAACACACAGAACATTCTGGGCACTACCGTAATCAAATAATTACTATTGATTAGTATGGTGTGCTACAGCATGGCCAGAGGGCAGCAGGAGACTGTTAGACAGGAGCCTTATTCCCTGTAGATTAATTAAAGCACCTGAAGCCACTCACCTGATAAAACCCCCCTGCTTCAATCAGAGAAGGGAAGGAGTTGAAGCAGAGTGGATTGGTGTCGGAGTAGAGAGCAGTTTGGAGAAGTGCTGCAGTGGGCTAAGACCCTAGGTAAGGGGACACCTGGTTCGTGCAGACGGAGGGCAGGAAGGGAAGTAGCCCGGGGAAGGAACCGCTAGTTCAAGCGGTTTACTGCTATCCCTAGGGCCCCTGGGCTGGGACCTGGAGTAGAGGGTGGGCCTGGGTCCCTCTCTCTCCACTCCCCTCCTCTAGGACACTAGTGGGGCAGTTAATATCCCAGTTCAGGGGCGAGAAATGGTGCCTGGAACCCTCCCAAAGAAGAGAAAGTGCGAGACCCATCAAAGTAGTGCCAGCAATTTGCCACAATTGATAAAGGACCACGAACATACATCACTTCCATATGGAAGAAAGATACCCTAAATCACTCAACTGGATGCATGTGTCAACTGAGTAACCATTGTGACAGGTTAGACTCCCCTGTCCGAGATGCCAGCTGATGTACTGGGGTTTCACTGAGCCCCTCCTGCTCCACCAGCCAGGATTCCCTCTCCCTGTTTTGCTGAATTAGGCTCTTCGGGCTCTTGCAGCACACACCTACAGGTATAGAATCATAGAAAACCAGGATTGGAAGAGACCTCAGGAGGTCATCCAGTCCAAACCACTGCTCAAAGCAAGACCAACACCAACTAAATCATCCGAGCCAGGGCTTTGTCAAGCTGGGCCTTAAAAACCTCGAAGGAAGGCGATTCCACCACCCCCCTAGGTAACGCATTCCAGTGCTTCACCACCCTCCTAGTGAAATAGTGTTTCCTAATATCCAACCTAGACCTCCCCCACTGCAACCTGACACCATTGCTCCTTGTTCTGTCATCTGCTACCACTGAGAACAGCTCACCCCCACTAACCACAATGTGATGAATGAATAAAAAGCCTTTTCTATTCAATCCATTAAGTTTTATTATACTCACAAACATAGAGACAGCAAAGAAAAGTAAGATAACCTGGGGAAAAATGGCGAACAACATGGGGGTGGAGGGAGAACAAGGACAGCTTGCTTACAATCGCACTGCAGTAACAATCAAAGGTGTGGGAATGGGTGCCTTCTAGTCCTTGTATCCTCCCCTGGAGTGGAGTGCAAGGGATACTGGACCCCCCCTCACACACACCCCCGCGACATCCTAGGATGTCTGGGAGGGGAGGATGTTGGATTTGGCGAGGATGGCAGCAGGTTCAGCATAGGCTGCAGAGGGACTCTAGCATCCAGCTGCCTTTCTTGAACCTCAACCAGATGCCTCGACATGTCTGTTGGCTCCCTTATAATCCACAGCATCTTGTCCTGCATGTCACGCTTGTGTTCTCCGCATGCTCTCCTATCCTTGCTGTCCTTGTGCAGGCTGTTAGACAGTGCAATGCTCCATGTGCTGAGCTCCATCTTGTCACTCTCAGAGGTGTGCATTATTAACTCACTGAACACGGCCTCCCGAGTCTTCTTTTTCCGCCTTCTAATCTGAGAAAGTCTCTGTCTCGGTGTGGAGGATGTGCTGACGGACAAGGTTTCAGCTGCAAGGAATGGAGAGCACAAGGATAGCACTGACAGTGCATACATTGTTTCTGGTGCAAGGTTAATTCTTTTAACACCCCTCAATGCACTTCCCTGCAAGCCACAATGTAATCACAACCGTTGGCTACTGCAAGAGTCATTTTGCATGCAGCCATGGTGAGTAAGGCCACGAGGCACGGGCAAGAGGTCTTGTGCTGCTGCTTTTGTGAAGACATCCTTGGAATCACTGGTTCTGACCTCATAAAAGCCCCCTTTCCCCAAGCAACCTGGATAGTGCTTGAAGACAGGCACCAGTGTAAAGCCCCCCAAATAGTTTGATTGTTACAAAAGTGGCACCGGGTTTGGGGGAAGGGAGACAAACAGGAAGTACCTCCCACAAAATTTTTTTTTAAATGCCTGGTTGCAATACACGGTGATCCCTTCCAACCATAGCCAGGGCACACTCGGGAAAGTGTAGTTGTGTGACCCAGAATTCACCAAAAGGGCAGATTACTTGTTGAGTTGCTTGCGGTTTAAAGGCTAGCATTTAAAACTTCCCCCGTTTCCCCTCGCTGACCATATACGATATCACTCTCCTGAGGGTGACAGAGGCAGAAAGGGAGCAGATGCTGCAAGCGTCTGGGTAGAGACCTGGTCCTTGTGCTGCAATGATGCCAGAAGAGTTAATACTGGAGTGGCGTGGGAAAGTGTCCTACCGTCATGGATGAAATAAGGCAGCCCTTCCCAGAAACCTTCTGCAAAGCATTGCAGAGTACCTCCATGAAAGCTTCCCAGAGATCTCCATGGATGATCCCAGGGCCATCCCCATGCACATAAACAGTCTTTTTCGGAGAGCACCAGCTGCGTAGCTGGAGTGGCCACCGATAACCACTATACCTTTTTTTTTGTTCAGATTCAACATTAAAAAAATAGCATGTAACCCCTACAGTTTGACTGGAAATGTGGACTCCCCAGAGGTGCCTTCCCCAGCATCACCGCCAACAACTGGTTCTGTGAGGGGATAGGCTCCAGAGTTAAAAAAAGTTCTTGGCTGTCGAGGAGAACGGATCCTCCGCTTGCCTGCCTCGCATTCTTCTCCTCCTCCTCCTCCTCAACAACGTCCTCCTTGTTGTTGCTCGAGGTCGCCCGGGACTCCTGAAAGGTATCCACGGAGCATTTTGTGGTAGTGGTGGGGTTGCCGCTGAGAACTGCACGCAGCTCCTCATAGAAGCGGCGTGCCTGTGGCTCAGAACCAGAGTGACTGTTCGTCTTCCTTGTCTTCTGGTACGCTTTCCGAAGCTCATTTATTTTCATGCGGCACTGCTGCGTGTCCCTGATGTAGCCCTTCTCCCTCATGCCCCGTGCAATTTTGGCATAGATGTTAACGTTTCTTCTGCTGGATCAGAGCTCTGCCTGCACAGACTCTTCTCCCCATAGGTGGGGAGTTTCTAATCTTCTGGGGGGTGCTCCCCCCCCGGCTTTGCCCAGGCCCTTCCCCCACTCCACCCCTTCCCCCAGTGCCCCAACCCTGCCCTGCTTCTTCCCACCCCTGTTCTGTCCCCTGCCCCGAGTGAGCTGCACCCTCACCCCTTCTCCCTCCCCTCAATGTCTCCTGACACCGCAAAACAGCTGATCCGTGGCAGGTGGTAGGTGCTGGGAGGGGGAGATGCTGATTGGTGCGGCCTGCTGGCGGGCAGAAGGTGCAGCGGGGGGGTGCAGGGGGCAGAGGCATTGATAAGGGGGCTGCTGAGCACCTACCATTTCTTTTTACCGTGGCTTCTCCAGCCCTGGAGCACCCATGGAGTCAGCATCTATGCTTCTCCCCACACAGCAATAAGCAATTTGGAGATCATGGTGTTACTGGGGCAGGCTCGTGCCATGGAACACCAATTCTGGGCCCGGAAAACAAGCACTGACTGGTGGGACTGCATAGTGTTGCAGGTTTGGGATGATTCCCAGTGACTCTGAAACTTTCGCATGCGTAAGGGCACTTTCATGGAACTTTTTGACTTGCTTTCCCCTGCCCTGAAGCACAAGAATACCAAGATGAGAGCAGCCCTCACAGTTCACAAGCAAGTGGCAATAGCCCTGTGGAAGCTTGCAACGCCAGACAGCTACCGGTCAGTCAGTGGGCAAATCTACTGTGGGGGTTGCTGTGATGCAAATAGCCAACGCAATCATTCAGCTGCTGCTATCAAAGGTAGTGACTCTTGGAAATGTGCTGGTCATACTAGATGGCTTTACTGCAATGGGATTCCCTAACTGTGGTCGGGCTACAGATGGAATGCATATCCCTATCTTGGGACTGGACCACCAGGGCAGCGAGTACATAAACCGCAAGGGGTACTTTTCAATGGTGCTGCAAGCACTGGTGGATCACAAGGGATGTTTCACCAACATCAACATGGGATGGCCGGGAAAGGTTCATGATGCTCGCATCTTCAGGAACTCTGGTCTGTTTAAAAGGCTGCAGGAAGGGATTTACTTTCCAGACCAGAAAATAACTGTTGGGGATGTTGAAATGCCTATAGTTATTCTTGGGGACCCAGCCTACCCCTTAATGCCCTGGCTCATGAAGCCATACACAGGCACCCTGGACAGTAGTAAGGAGCTGTTCAATCAGAGGCTGAGCAAGTGCAGAACGGTGGTAGAGTGTACATTTGGATGTTTAAAGGGTCGCTGGCGCAGTTTACTGACTCGCTCAGACCTCAGTGAAACCAATATTCCCATTGTTATTGCAGCTTGCTGTGTGCTCCACAATCTCTGTGACAGTAAGGGGGAGCCGTTTATGGTGGGGTGGAAGGTTTTGAGGCAAACCGCCTGGCTGCTGAATACGCGCAGCCAGACACCAGGGCGGTTAGAAGAGCACAGCAGAAAGCACTGCGCATCAGAGAAGCTTTGAAAAACAGTTTCATGACTGGCCAGGGTACTGTGTGACACTTCTGTTTGTTTCTTCCTGATGAAAACCTGCTCCCTTGGTTGCCTCTAAATTCCCTGTAAGCCACCTGCCCTCCCCACCTTTGATCACAGCTTGCTTGCAAAGGAAATAAAGTCACTATCGTTTAAAAAAACATGTATTCTTTATTAATTGATTATAAAATAGGGAGATAACTCACAAGGTAGCCCGGGTGCGATGTGGGAGGAGGGAAGGAAAAGGCCACTTCAAAACTTGTTGAATGACAGCCTTCTGTTGCTTGGGCTGTCCACTGGGGTGGAGTGGTTGGGTGCCCGGAGCCTCCCCCACCACACACTCTTGGGCGTCTGGGTGAGGAGGCTATGGAACTTGGGGAGGAGGGAGGGCAGTTAAACAGGGGCTGCAGCGGCAGTCTGTGATCCTGCTGCCATTCATGAACATCCACCAGACACCAGAGCATGTCCCTTTGATCCTGCAGTAGCCCCAGCATTGCCTCATGCCTCCTCTGATCTTCCTGTCACCACCTCTCCTCACGTTCATCGGCCGCTTTCCTGTACTCTGCTATTGTATCCCTCCACACATTCTGCTGAGCTCTGTCAGTGTCGGACGACTGCATGAGCTCAGAGAACATTTCATCGTGCGTGTGTTTTTTTTCACCGCCTTATCTGAGATAGCCTTTGGTACAGAGGACGGAGGCTTGAAACATTTGCAGCTGCTGGAGGAAAAAAAAGGGAGTGCAGTATTTTAAAAGATACATTTTACAGAACAATCGCCATACTCTTTCACAGTAAACAACACTATTCACAGTACATAGCACGTGATTTTGGTACAAGGTCGCATTTTGCATTTTATATTGACTGCCTGTGGCTTTGGTGTTAGAGTTCACACATGCAGTGCTGGGCAACAGAATTCAGCTTGCAGGTGGCCATGGTAAGCCATACTCTTTCGGCTTCTGCAACCTTCACAACAGCAGCGCCCTCCCCTCACATACCAAGCAAAGCACGTTTTGCTGGCCATTTAGTGCTGCGGTTTTCCTGTTAACGTGCAGCAGCAGAAACCAAACTGAACCTCCACCCCATCCAATTCTCTGGGATGATTGCTTTACCCCTCACCCCACTGCATGGCTGGTATCAGGGAAGATCCCTGCTAGCCAAACGTGAACAGCTCAGCACCAAGTCCCCCCCCACACACCGCGTGACTAACTGCGGGGAGGATTTCTTTTCAGCCACAGGCAAACAGCCCAGTAGGAACGGCCACCTCTGAATGTCCCCTTAATTAAATTCCCCTCCTGAGGATAACACAGAGAGATAAAGAATGGATGTTGCTTGAATGCCAGCAAACACCAGGACCATACAGTGCCAGGCTTTGTCATGCAATGATACCAGATTACTTGCTACTAGAATGGCATGGTAAAGTGTCCTACCATGGAGGATAGAATAAAGCTGCTCTCCCTAGAAACCTTCTGCAAAGGCTTTTAGAGTACCTCCAGGAGAGCTTCATGGAGATGTCCCTAAAGGATTTCCGCTCCATCCCCAGACACGTTAACAGACTTTTCCAGCAGCTGTACTGGCCATGAATGCATCCCAAGTCCTCAGAGCAACTTAATCATTAAAAAAATGCTTGCTTTTAAAACATGTATTATATTTAAAAAGGTACACTCACCAGAGGTCCATTCTCTGGCTTGGTTGGGTTGGGAGGGTATTTCAGTCAGGGTGATAAAAAGATCCTGGCTGTCGGGGAGAATGATGTGCTATGTGCTCTCCTCAAGCTTGTCTTCCTCCTCATCATCTTCCCCGTCCACAAAATCCTCAGGCATGGCAGAGAGTACCCCATCATCGGAGTCCATGGACAGGGATGGGGTAGTGGTGGCGGCCCCCCCCTAGAATTGCATGCAGCTCAGCATAGAAGCGACATGTCGGGGGCTCTGTCCCAGAGCGTCTGTTTGATTCTTTGGTTTTCTGGTACGCTTGTCTGAGCTCCTTAAGTTTCATGCGGCACTGTGTTACATCCCTACATTGCCTCTGTCCCTCATGGCCTCGGAGATTTTTTGAAATGTTTTGGAATTTCGTCTTTTGGAACGTAGTTCTGATAGCACGGATTCCTCTCCCCATACAGCGATCAGATCCAGTACCTCCCGTTCAGTCCATGCTGGAGCTCTTTTTCGATTCTGGGACTGCATGGTCACCTGTGCTGATGAGCTCGCCTGGCCAAACAGGAAATGAGATTCAAAAGCTCCTGGGGCTTTTCCTGTACACCTGGCCAGTGCATCCGAGTTCAGAGTGCTGTCCAGAGCGGTCACAATGGTGCACTGTGGAATAGCTCCCGGAGGCCAATACCTTCGAATGGTATCCACACTAACCCTAATTCAAAATGGTGATGTCGATTTCAGTGCTAATCCCCCTGTTGGGGAGGAGTACAGAAATCAGTTTTAAGAGCCCTTGATGTCAAAAAAACAAAGGCTTTGTTGTGTGGATGGGTGCAGGGTTAATTCGATTTAACGCTGCTAAATCTGACATAAACTCATAGTGTAGACCAGGCCTTTGTAGTGTAGACCAGGCTTTTGTCTTGAGAAAAGAAGACTTAGATGTACCTGATAACAGTCTTCAAATATGTTAAGTGCTGTCATAAAGAGGACTGTGATCAATTGTTCTGCACATCCACTGAAGGTGGGACAAGAAGTAATCTGTAGCAAGAGAGATTTAGATTAGATATTGGAAAAACCTTTCTAGCTTTAAGGGTAGTTAAGCTCTGGAGGTCACCGGAGATACCAGTTAGGGATGGTCTAGATAATACTTAGTCCTGCCTTAGCCACTTATCCAGTCCAGCTCCCTGCACTCTCAACCTTTCCAGACTACTGTACCCCTTTCAGGAGTCTGATGTGTCTTGTGTACCCCTAGTTTCATCTTACTTAAAATCTACTTGCTTACAAAATCAGACATAAAAAATACAAGTGTCACAGCACATTATTACTGACAAATTGCTTACTTTCTAATTTTTACCATATAATTATAAAATAAAATATAAATATTGTACTTACATTTCAGTGTACAGTATATAGAGCAGTATAAACAAGTCATTACATGAAATTTTACTTTGTACCAACTTCACTAGTGTTTTTAGGTAGCCTGTTGTAAAACTAGGCAAATGTTTAGATGAGTCAATGTACTCCCTGGAAGAACTCTGCGTACCCCCGGTTGAACCACTGCACCTTTCATGGTCCCTTCAAACCCTACATTTCTGTGATTAACGTGGAGAATTTCTGCATTATTTATATGAAACATATGCATGACTCAGTTTACCCAGACAAGGTGGGTGAGATAATGTCTTTTATTGGACCAACTTCTGTTGGTGAAAGAGACAGAAATTGGTCCAATAAAAGACATTACACCTCATCCACCTTGTCTCATTACTATCCTGTGATCGACACAGCTACAACACTGCAAACATCAGTTTACCTACTCACTGTTGTATTACCTTTAGGAATTGAAGGGGTTAATTTCTCTCCTGATAGAAGGGGCTGGGTAGGAGTCAGTTCATGCATACCCACTAATATGCTTACTATTCTGGAAGACTCATGACTGGATATTAACTGTTAATGATTGCCAGCTAAGGGATCTAGAGCTAGACTGCAGGTGTGAGCAGATTGGGTTAAGCAGGCTGATGCCCAATGCAGTGGGAGAGCAGGAACCCTGGACAGGTTGGATGAGAGGCAGGTAATGCTGCAGCATGGACATTCATATAACCGTTGTTTTTCCATTCTAACTTAAGTGGCCTCCCTTATTTTAGGGCACTTGTCTGGTTTTAAATTGGACAGACCTCATTTTGGCTGGTGTACCCCTGACCTGTACTGTGACAAAACTGGACATGATTTTGTCTTGTATCAGATGGGAGACACGATTTTAAACTGTGCACCAGGCCGGAGGGGGCGGGACAAGGTGGAGCGCTCTTGGAAATGGCATCCCCCATGCAACGTGATCTCACACGCATCATGTGCAGGAGATCATGCTGGCAGGTGTTGCCGGCACCCAGTGCCGAGAGGCTGAACAACAGCTTGAGTGGTTCGTTACCCGGTGTGCTACACCCAATAATCACAACGGGGTGGAGAAGCAGAAAAGTTTATTTGCAGCTGCAAAAAGGTACAGGGAGAATAAAATCTCAAATCCTGCACAACAGAGCAGGAAGTTACACAGGCTTTTATACATTCTTTTTTTTAGCATACTTATTTAATAGCAAGCTGCCCCAAGTATTCATATAGCCAGCCAATCCAGTTCCCAGCTAGTTACCTGATTCTTTGTATTATTTGTTAAACTTTACATAAAGCTGCTTTATTTAGCATTTTTTTTTATATTTTTTTTGTTTGGCCTTGCTTAGTTTTAAGCAGTTTGACTCTGCAACATACTGTTGCAGATTCTCAGCATAACTGCTGTGTGTGCCTCCAGGCAGGGGGGCCAAGGACACTTGGGCCTAGTACGCAGAGCTGCTGCGAGTGCCTCCAGGCAGGAGGTGGGGCCAAGGACACCGGGGCCTAGTGCAAGGGGGCTTCATCGACACTCGTGGTCTTCCATCCCCTCGAGTTACCTAGTGGCCATGCCCCAGTGTTCCCAACACAGGGGCGGGCCCATGCTGTTTCCAGAAGAGCTGTCTAACACTCAGCATTCTGGGAACATGAGTGGCCACCCTACCAAACACTGTTCAGCTTGACTAATAAAAGCTATCCTGTGTCGCTGCAAACATCCAGCTGGTTGCGCTGCTCCCAAGAGGGGTCAGGCCTCCAACAGGGGTGTAAACTCATTTGGATTCACTGAAGGAGCCACAGCAAGAAACAGAGGTGCTGAACGCCGAGTAGCAGAGTGCAGTGCTCACCCTTGCAAAGAAATGGAGGCCCAGGGCCTAGCACTGAGGGTTTCCCTCCTAGAGGGACTGTATAACAGTCAGAGGCATAGCACAGCCTGTGGTTCCAGGACAACTGAAATGAATATTTCTATCCTTTCCCTGCTCTCCGGATAGAGGCACCCTCGTGATGTGTAGCTGCCAGGCTAACTCAGCATTGCAAAAATCGCTGCTCTGCAGTCAAACGAGAGCTGAACTCTCCTTTTCCCATCCCCATTCTTCTGAACGAAAGAGGGTTTCAGAGTCGAATCGGGCTCCCTCAGACGCTCCAAGTACCAAACTCAGGCAACTTTTCTCATGCGAAGAGTTAAAAAAAAATTGTTGCCAAGGCAACGCCAAGGCTTCGGAGCTAAAAGCCCCGCAAGGAATTGCACACGTCCCGCTACCTCGCCATGGCGCATGGAGGCTGCACTTTCTATTCTTACTGTTTTGGATACGTGTATAGCTCAAAATATGATTGTGCTTTGTGTAGCAATCCCGAACAGCAGAGACACCAGATGGGAGGCTGCTGAAGGTGCCCTGAGGCTTTGTCATTTTTAACTGTAACAATATAGCGGCTTTAAGCCACGGGCTGTGGCAGAGACAGTACCCCACCATGGTGGAAGCCCAAGATTCACACCCTGTCCCAGGGCAGTGACGCGCCTGCTATGTCCTGGTGCAGGCTGCAGAGCAACTGCTGTCCAAGGGGAGGGATCAGATTTCCCTGCAGCGACTGTAACAGCTGGCTACGTATGGACAGCTCATGGAGTCACATCTGCTTTTGGTGCTGTAGGTCCCCAGCCTGTCCCCACCCGTGAGTTTGTTACAGTAGCATCCCAGTAGAAACAGTGTGTGTCGCAGTGATGGTGGAGAGGGAGAGAGGCTGGGTGTAGGATAGTGGTGCACAGAGGCAGCCAGCAGAGAGCGAGTGGATTTGCACTTTGGACAGTTGCAGGACTGTAGAGGCCGGGTGCTGAGGGGATGCAAGGCTGCACATGAGCCCCTGTGTTAACTAGAGAGGAAGCTGGGCCCCTCACTTCTCGAGCAGCCAGAGGACTGGAAACTGCAGAAGTGAAAGTCAGCAGCAGATAGTGTCTCTTCCTTTTGATGATTGAGACAGGGAATCTCAGGTTTTACCTCCTCATTACAATCCCCTGCAGGCCACAGACTAGGGCCAGCATGGGGAGCGGCCTCAAGCAGTTACAATCCCCTGCGGGCCATGGACGGGGCCAGCGTGGTGAGAGGCGCCAGACTCCAGGCAGTTATAATCCCCTGTGGGCCACAGACTGGGCCCAGCATGGAGAGCGGCGCCAGGCCTCGGGCAGGCTGATGTTGATGCTGTCCTCGTGCTCAGGCAGTGCCCCCTGGCAGCTCAAGTCCTGGGGCCAATGCTGAGCCAAGAGCTCTTGCTCTAGCATTTCTGGCGCCTGGCTAATAGTGATATTGTCCAGGTGGTGGTGTGCAGCATTGTAGGAGCAGCCGCTGGCAGGAAGCCAACCTATTGTTCAGAGATTGCCTCTCACTTCCTGTCACACAGAGAAGCCACCTGGCCCCTGAGACAAAACACAGAGCAGAGGATTTCCCCATAAGGCAATGTTACCCCGTGCTGCCCAGCTTCACCCCTGCTGTCCATGCCCATGGGCCTCAGGATGTCCTGCTGCACTGCTGCCTGTACTGTGCATCCATACAGAACCCCTGGCGTGCAAGGCCCGGAACAGAGGACACAGCAAGGAGATGACAAAAGGCAGTGGAGGACTTGCTTCCTCCCCCCAGGTTGTCGTGGGGGCTTGCTGGGTTAGGTTAAGCTCCCTCCCCCACTGCCCAGGAGAGAAAGCATCTGTGGTTCACGCTACAAGAGAGCTAAGTGCTCCTTCCCCTTCCCAGACTTGAGGCCAGGGTAGAAGAGGGTCATACTTCCTCCAGCTCCACACTTAACCCATGGGCTCAGTGTGAGAGTCCTTAACATGCTTCTCAGAGCACAAGGATCACCAAAGGACATGGTTTTGCACCCACAAGACCTGAGATTAGGCCAAAGGACACCCCAACACCAGCTGGGCGGCTGCCGTGGTGATGCCCTGTCACTCTGTGGCACAATTTACATACTGAAGGCTGCACTCCACTGGGCTCTTCTGGGACCTGGAAGAGACTCGAGTGCAGTGCTGAGCACTGCCCAGACAGGTAGTGAAATGCCCCTTCCCCCCACACCCCTCTCCTGTTCCTTTGTCTCCCTCTCAGCTCCCCTGCTTATCCTCCTCCCAACAGTTCCTCTACGCCCCACTCATGGTGCTGAATTGTTTGGAGGGAAAGAGCCCTTGAACAGCCCCTATAGGAACAGGAAATCTTGTCAGAGGGAAGGACTTCTGATTAGGGATGTCAATTATTCGTAGTTAATTCACGTGATGAACTCAAAAAATTAATCACGATTAATCACAGTTTTAATCGCACTGTTAGACAATAGAATACCAACTGAAATGTATTAAATACTTTTGGATGTTTTCTACATTTTCAAATATATTGATTTCAATTACAACACAGACTACAAAGTGTACAGTGCTCACTTTATACGATTTTTATTACAAGTATTTGCACTGTAAAAATGATAACCAAAGAAATAATACTTTTCAATTCACCTCATTCAAGTACTGTAGTGCAATCTCTTTATCGTGAACGTGCAACATACAAATGTAGAATTTTTTTTTAACATAACTGCATTCAAAAACAAAACAATGTAAGGCTTTAGAGCATACAAGTCCACTCAGTCCTCCTTGTTCAGCCAATCACTAAGACAAACCAGTTTGTTTATATTTACAGGAGATAATGCTGCCCTCTTCTTATTTACAGTGTCACCAGAAAGTGAGAACAGGCGTTCACATGGCACTTTTGTAGCCGGCATTGCAAGGTATTTAAATGCCAGATATGCTAAACATTCGTATGCCCTTCATGCTTCGGCCACCATTCCAGAGGACATGCTTCCATGCTGATGACGCTCGTTAAAAAAATAATGCGTTAATTAAATTTGTGACAGAACTTTTTGGGAGAGAATTGTATGTCTCCTGCCCTGTTTTACCCGCATTCTGCCATATATTTCATGTTATAGCAGTCTTGGATGATGACCCAGCACATGTTGTTCATTTTAAGAACTCTTTCACTGCAGATTTGACAAATTGCAAAGAAGGTACCAGTGTGAGATTTCTAAAGATAGCTACAGCACTCAACACAAGGATTAAGAATTTGAAGTGCCTTCCAAAATCCGAGAGGGACAAGGTATGGAGCATGCTTTCAGGCATCTTAAAAGAGCAACATTCAGATGTGGGAACTACAGAACCCAAACCACCAAAAAAGAAAATCAACTTTCTGCTAGCATCTGACTCAGGTGATGAAAATGAACACACATCGGTCACTCTCCTTTGGATCGTTATCGAGCAGAACCCATCATCAGCATGATCTCATGTCCTCTGGAATGGTGGTTGAAGCATGAAGGGACATTTATCTTTAGCGCATCTGGCACGTAAATAACTTGCGACACCTGCTACAACAGTCCCATGTGAACACCTGTTCTCACTTTCAGGAGACATTGTAAACAAGAAGCGGAGAGCATGATCTCCTGCAAATGTAAACAAACTTGTTTGAGCGATTGGCTAAACAAGAAGTAGGTCTGAGTGGATGTGTAGACTCTAAAGTTTTACATTGTTTTGGTTTTGAATGCAGTTTTTTTGTACATAATTCTACATTTGTAAATTCAACTTTCATGATAAAGAGATTACACTACAGTACTTGTATTAGGTGAATTGAAAAATACTATTTCTTTTGTTTTTTTACAGTGCAAATATTTGTAATAAAAATATAAAATGAGCACTGTCCACTTTGTTTTCTGTGTTGTAAATGAAACCAATATATTTGAAAATGTAGAAAACATCCAAAAATATTTAAATAAATTGTATTCTATTATTGTTTAATCACCCAATTAATCACAATTAATTTTTTAATCGCTTGACAGCCCGATTTCTGACCCATTCTTCAGTCTCCCCCTTCTAAGCAACAACAAGATTTCATGGAATTGTGTCAGTATATCATACCTGGAAACATACCTCTCTTGCATGCCAGCCCCTCTCTTGGGTTTTGTTGCTGCTGGCGTGTCTAATCCCTGCCTGAACCCCAGGGACTGTGTGAGGAACAAATCACTGCCGAAACCAGTGTGAATACAAGGAAGCTCTGACTCTCCAAACCAGCTACACGCTTCTGTGTGTGTCAGTTGCATCAACCAGGAGCTCACCTGTTCCTCCCAAGAGACACCGTGCCACAATCACACACCACATTCTCAAATAAAAACACATGGTCCCATAATAGCAAACACACCCCATACCCAGTTTTTCGCTGTCAAGCACTGTTGATGCTTAGAACAGGCTTAGAAAGGTAAAAAGAAAAGGAGGACTTGTGGCACCTTAGAGACTAACAAATTTATTTGAGCATAAGCTTTCGTGAGCTACAGCTCACTTCATTGGATGCATGCAGGGAAAATAAAGTGGGGAGATTTTATATACACAGAGAACATGAAACAATGGGTGTTACCATACAGACTGTAACAAGAGTGATCAGGTAAGATGAGCTATTACCAGCAGGAGAGCACGTGGGGGGGGGGGGGGGGGAGAACCTTTTGTAGTGATAATCAAGGTGGGCCATTTCCAGCAAGAACATGTGAGGAACAGGTTTCAGAGGAACAGCCGTGTTAGTCTGTATTCGCAAAAAGAAAAGGAAAGGAGTACTTGTGGCACCTTAGAGACTAACCAATTTATTTGAGCATGAGCTTTCGTGAGCTACAGCTCACTTCATCAGATGGTTAGTCTCTAAGGTGCCACAAGTACTCCTTTTCTTTTTGCGAATACAGACTAACATGGCTGTTACTCTGAAACCTGTCCTATCTCGGGGCCTCTCCTTCTGCCCCTCCACCCCCACGAACATGATGCAGTTCTGTGGTAACCTAGAATCCTATTTTTGATGTCTCTGACTCAAGGAATATTTCCAACACACCTCTGAGCAACATACTAACCCACAGAGACCTTCCTACCAAGACTACAAAAAGAAGGATTCTGGGTGGACTCCTCCTGAAGGTCGAAACAACAGACTGGACTTCTACATAGAGTGCTTCCGCCAATGTGCACGTCCTGAAATTGTGGAAAAGCAGCATCACTTGCCCCATAACCTCAGCCGTGCAGAACACAATGCCATCCACAGCCTCAGAAACAAATCTGACATCATAATCAAAAAGGCTGACAAAGGAGGTGCTGTCGTCATCATGAATAGGTCAGACAATGAACAAGAGGCTGCTAGGCAGCTCTCCAACACCACTTTCTACAAGCCATTACCCTCTGATCCCACTGAGGGTTACCAAAAGAAACTACACCATCTGCTCAAGAAACTCCCTGAAAAAGCACAAGAACAAATCCGCGCAGACACACCCCTAGAACCCTGACCAGGGGTATTCTATCTGCTACCCAAGATTCATAAACCTGGAAATTCTGGACGCCCCATCATCTCAGGCATTGGCACCCTGACTGCAGGATTGTCTGGCTATGTAGACTCCCTCCTCAGGCCCCCCGCTCTCCTGCTGGTAATAGCTCACCTTACCTGATCACTCTCCTTACAGTCCATATGGTAACACCCATTGTTTCATGTTCTCTGTGTATATAAAATCTCTCCACTTTATTTTCCACTGCATGCATCCGATGAAGTGAGCTGTAGCTCATGAAAGCTTAGGCTCAAATAAATTTGTTAGTCTCTAAGGTGCCACAAGTCCTCCTTTTCTTTTTTGCGGATACAGACTAACACGGCTGCTACTCTGAAACCAATTATTAATCAACAGAGTCCCTCACAATCCCATTCTCTCAAGCAGGTCCACACAGCATATACTTTTCAAAACACACACACAGAGACACACAATTGTCCTTGCAACAAAGCCCGTTGCCAACTGTGCCCACATATCTATTCAGGGGACACCATCACAGGGCCTAATAACATCGGCCACACTATCAGAGGCTCGTTTACCTGCACATCCACTAATGTGATATATGCCATCATGTGCCAGCAATGCCCCTCTGCCATTGGTCAAACTGGACAGTCTCTACGTAAAAGAATAAATGGACACAAATCAGATGTCAAGAATTATAACATTCATAAACCAGTCGGAGAACACTTCAATCTCTCTGGTCACACGATTACAGACATGAAAGTTGCGATATTACAACAAAAAAACTTCAAATCCAGACTCCAGCCAGAGACTGTTGAATTGGAATTCATTTGCAAATTGGATACAATTAACTTAGGCTTGAATAGAGACTGGGAGTGGCTAAGTCATTATGCAAGGTAACCTATTTCCCCTTGTTTTTTCCTACCCCCCCACCCCGACGTTCTTGTTAAACCCTGGATTTGTGCGGGAAATGGCCCACCTTGATTATCATACACATTGTAAGGAGAGTGATCACTTTAGATAAGCTATTACCAGCAGGAGAGTGGGGTGGGGGGAGGTATTTTTTCATGCTTTGTGTGTATAAAAAGATCTTCTACACTTTCCACAGTATGCATCCGATGAAGTGAGCTGTAGCTCACGAAAGCTTATGCTCAAATAAATTGGTTAGTCTCTAAGGTGCCACAAGTACTCCTTTTCTTTTTGCGAATACAGACTAACACGGCTGTTACTCTGAAACCACACAATTGTATAGTTACAGCACTATCATACGAAGTGCACATTATCAAAATTACACACACAGTTCTATTGTTTCTCCTTTTGTCCTGAGCCAACATTCATGATCTTGTGGGTTATTTCCATTAGAAGGATTCGGGTATTTCTTTGGTACGATCCTGTTTATTTACATGGAATATACAAAGTCCTGTTTCTCTGAACACAGCAGAAGGTAATTGCTTTGCTCATCATTCCAAGTCTCTTTCTAGTCAGCATGCTGGCCAAAAGCTCTCTCAGCTTTTCTCAGGGTCACGTTATAAATACTTCTCTCTGGTTGTTTCTTGGCCTTCTTTGCTGCTTTCTCTGTCTACTTCTGTAGTGTTACACAGACACACACACACCCCCAATACACCAAGCTCCCTACATTTGTATTCAACCCCCAGTGAAACCCCTCTCTCTGCATAGCTCAAATTCCTGACTGACCTTGCATGTGACCTCTGTTTTGGGCAGTGGCTCCCATTGTTTTAGATATCTAGTCAATAATTGGTTTTTAGGTTTATACTGAATGAAAGACAGTTGTTACACTCACCGCCTTCTGCAAGGTTTCACCCAGCCCCCAGGAATGCACAAGATACACAGCAATTGATAACAAGGAGTCTGATGGCATCTTAAAGACTAACAGATTTATTTGGGCATAAGCTTTTGTGGGCAAACCACCACCTCACTCCATGCATCTGAAGAAGTGGTGTTTTACCCACGAAAGCTTATGCCCAAATAAATCTGTTAGTCTTTAAGGTGCCACTGGACTCCTTGTTGTTTTTGTGGATACAGACTAACACGGCTACCCCAATACTTGACAGCAATTGATATTTACCTTCTTTGTAAAGCACTTTGAGGTCTAAAGATGAAAAGTGCATTCAGAGTCCTCAGCAGCCAGCATGAATTAATTTTGCAGCCCTGTCTCCCTGGTACCTGCCCTGGGCTGGGTTCTCCTGTGGCATGCCGGCAGTGTGCTGATTTAAAGTGCCAAGAAGGCAGGGGAGAGGCTGATTACAGTTAATCTTTAAACCAGCTCCATTTACCTTTCACCTTTTCACATTCACTCTCCATTTTCTGAGACTCCACCTTCCACTCCCACAATACACAGACCTAAGAAGAAGGCAAGAGGCAGCAGGCGGCCAGGCTCAGCTCCTAAGGTAATTGCCAGGCCTTCCCCTTAGCAGGGAACATTTGGGGTGGGTGGGGGTGTCAGGCAGGAGGAAGAGGAGGAGGAGGAAGGACAAAGCTCATTTCTGGTTTCCTGGTCAGATCCCCAGAGCTGGTGGCTTCTGTGGGCTCTCTCTGCTGGGGAAGTTACAGGCATCTGTTCTCGGAGTGGAGGTGACAGTGACCTGTGCTGGAGGGCCAGTACCAGCAGGTCCATTTTCCAGCACAGTGACAAAGCAGCCTCTACGTTTCTGCTTGTGCTGAGCCTCCCAGGTGTGGCTGCAAACTGCACTGAGGAGTGTGACCACCTGCTCTGCTGGTGCAAATGCAGCCTGCAACCATAGTGCCATAGTCTGCACAGGCTAGCACAATTTTAGAGTCCACATCTGAAAACCTAGCTCTGTAACCAGCTTGCCAGGGGAAGCCTCCTCCAGCACCCAATGTAAGCTAGGCCTGTCCCCTAGATCCTGGCTCCAGGACTCTTCTCACCCCCTTCTCTTCTACACACACCCCAGGGCACCTCCTGCCTCAGCTCTTCCCGCCCCAGAGGGTCAAAAAATGGGGGACTGGACCCCAAAATTCTGAAACTTAAAACAAATACTGCTTGTATTGTGTCCATATCTGTTGTTCAACTGTTGAACTCCCCCTGCTCACCGGCAGCGTGTGTGTGAGAATTACTGGGGCCAACGCTGTGAAACTTATTCAGAGGATTTTGGCCCCTGCAGCAGGAGCTCTCACCCCACATCTGCCCATCCCCCAAATCATTCTGAACCCCAAGCAATTTGTTCTGCCCCCACAACCACCCAGCCCCAACATCAGTTCTACCCAGTCCAGCCCCACTGCTCCTGCAGGCAGCTCCAGGGCTCTCCTCCCCACCAGTCTGGGTGTGGCAGGGAGGGGAGGAGCAGAGAACCCACTTTGCTCACTGGAGTAGCAGGTAGTGGGGATTAGCTGCAGGGCTCCCCCTGCTGGCCACTCCCCTCTTGTGAGAAAGGCCTCGAGCAGTGGCTCTCAACCTATCCAGACTATTGTACCCCTTTCAGGAGTCTGATTTGTCTTGCCTGTCCCAAGTTTTACCTCACTTAAAAACTACTTGCTTACAAAATCAGACATAAAAATACAAAAGTGGCACAGCACATTACTGACAAATTGCTGACTTTCTCCTTTTTACCATATACTTATAAAATAAATCCATTGAAATATGACTATTGTACGTACATGTCAGTGTAGTCTATAGGGCAGTATAAACAAGTCATTGTCTGCAAGCAATTTTAGTTTGTACTGACTTCACTAGTGCTTTATATGTAGCCTGTTGTAAAACCAGGTGAATACCTAGAGGAGCTGATGTACCCCAGGGGAACACACATCCCCTGACTGAGAACCACGGAACTAAAAGACTCCAGAGTGGGCTTAGGGCAGCTCTGATTTGCTTCCTACCACAGTCCTGACTGGTTGATTTATGCCTCCTTGGGAAGAGCCACCAATCAGAGTGCAGTTCCCGCCCGCCCCGCCCAGCAGAGCTGAAATTCACCATGTAGAGAGGGGGCTTGAGCCCCACAGCCCCTGACCCTGCAAGGAACCCTGGGACTTAGCAACATTGCTGCCCCGACTCTCCCCCTCAATGCTGCCTCCTGACCCCTCTCCATCAGCACTGACCCCTTCCCCTGTCTCACCCCCCTCAGTGCTGCCATTTCCCTGACCCTCCCGCCAAGCACTGCCCCCTGCCCCACTCCCCATCAGCACTGCCCTGTTTCCCTGCCCCATTCCCCCAGCACTGCCCCGACCCCCTGCCACACCCCAGCACGGCCCCTCCCTCTCTGTGCTGCTCCCTCAGAACTGACTCCTTCCCCACCGTCCTCAGCACTGACCCCCCTTTTCTGCCCCTCCCGATCACTGACCCCTTCCCCTGCCCCTCCCCCATCACTGCCCCTTCCCCTCTGTGCTGCCCCCTGCCAACCCCTCCTCTGCACTGCCCTCCTGTCTCACCCCCAGCACTGCCCCACCCTGTGCTACTCCCTGCCCCTCCCCGCTCAGCACTGACTCCTTCCTCTGACTCCCCCACATCAGTGCTGCCCTGTTCCCCTGCCCCTCCCCCTCAGTGATGCTCTCCTGCCCCTCCCCCTAGCACTGACACCTGCCCCTGCCCCTCCCCATCTGCTGCCTCCTGCCTCACCCCCAGCACTGCCCCCTCCCTCTGTGCTGCCCCCTGACCGTCCCCTCAGCACTGACCCTTCTTCCTCCGTGCTGCCCCTGACCATCCCATCCCATCCCCCTTTGCAATGACTCCTGTCCCTGCCTCACCTCCCTCAGCTCTGTCCTCCTGACCCACCCTCCTCAGCACTGACCCCTTCTCCTGATCCTCCCCCTCTGCACGGACCCCTGCCCCACCCTTCAGTGCTGTCCTCTGCCCATCTACCCCTTCCTTTCTACCCACCCCCAGACACTTCTCCCCTCAGCATTGCCTCCTCCAGCTCCCACCCCAGCACTGCCCCCTGCCCTTTTACTCCTCTCCCTGGGCATCTCCCAATGCTCTCTTTCCTTCTAACCCTCCTGGATATATCCTGCCTCATTTCTGTCCTGCCTCATCACCAGCCCTTTCACACATGCCCTAGCCACCTCTCACCTCAAATTCATGTATAGTCCTTCCAGATGCAAGAGGTTAGTACTTAGCATCATTTGGATCTCACAATCCACTTCTCAATGCTCTCCTGGGATCATGAGTTCAGACACCCACTCATGAACAGAAGGACAAAAATCTTAGCACTTATATCCCATGAGCTTTGTGAGACAAAGAGATTTAACCCTGAAATAGTTACAAAAGCCTGTGAGCCAAGAAGCTTCAATAACAGCAATGCTCTGAGCAGAATGACAAATAGGTTCCCCCACGACCCTGGGCTCTCCAGTTCTTGGGACAGGCAGAATACTGCTGGCACAGCCGGCAGTAACACAGACCAAGAACAGCTGACCTGCACTCCAGCAGGAGATCAAGTCATTGCAGAAAGAACTTTTGAGAGCAAGCAGCAGTGTAATGAGAAAGGCATTGTGGTTCAGAGATGGTCAGTACAGACAGATGTCCAATACGATGATCTCCACTGCTTCCATTTTTTTCATGCAGTGCTTTTGGTTTACAAAGCATTGTACAGACATTGGCTAATCCTCACAATAGCTATGAGAGGCAGGGAGCAGTGAGTGGGTTTTATCTCCATTTTACAGATGGAGAGACTGAGTCAAGACTGTATAGCAAGTCCGCCTCAGAGCCAGGATTAGAACTCAGGCATCCCTGCCTTCCGCCCTGGCGCTCAGCCTGCAGGACCAAGCTCTCTCTCTCATGATCTTTATTAAGTGGCTGTAGTAGTTTGTAGTTGTCAGCATTATGTTTTATTTGCATTTTATTAAAAAACAAACAAACAAAAAAGGCAGCTGTACCAGAAGTGCCTGGAGTCAATGGACACTGGTCCCTGCCATGGGACAGGATCGTGGGAGGAAATAATCTGGTCTCTTCCCAGCACTGGTCTATGTCACACCTTCATTTCAGGGCCTGGAGACTTCTGTCCCCCCAATCTCCCTGTGACTTGTTTTTCTGGTGTGCAGTTTCCTGAAGCCAAATGGAATGTGCCTGGTACCTTTGTGTCTGCAGCCTCCTCTGTGCCTGGCCTGCGGCAGCAGGACATCCTTGCAGCATTGACAGTAAGGTGGGTATGGAGGACTCTTCCCAGGGCTCAGGGTAGTCTAAAATCATCCAGGAAAGGGGCTCAGTGACCCAGGAGGTCCTGTGCAGCCCAGTAAACTGAATGCAAGACAATGAAAAAATACCCTAGAAAGCTGAACCAAACTGCAAAGGGACCAGGAGAGATGAGAGTAGGTTCTGCATGCAGCAAGAGGCAGCTCCATACAGAAAGGTGTAACGTCATACATGTAGGCAGGGAGGGCTACCAAGATATGTGGTGGATTCTCCAGCATTTTTTTAGAAAGAAATGGCCATTCATAGATTCCAAGGCCAGAAGGGACCATTGTGATCATCTAGTCTAGACTCCTCTATAGCACAGGCCAGAGAACTGTCCCACAATAATTCCTAAGGCAGATCTTTTAGAAAATCATCCAATCTTGGTTTAAAAATCGCAATGATAGAGAATCCACCATGATCCTCAGTAAACTGTTCCAATGGTTGATTACTCTCACCATTAAAAATTGCATTATTTCCAGCCTGAATTTGTCTAGCTTCAACTTCCAGCCATTGGATCTTGTTATGGTTTTCTCTGCTAGCTTGTTTCTTCCACATGTAGATACTCAAGTCACCCCTTTAACTTAACAGAGAGAAGGTTAATAGATGGAGCTCCTGGAGTCTGTCACAATAAAATATGTTTTCTAATCCTTTAATCATTCTTGTGGCTCTTCTCTGAACCCCTTTCAAATTTATCAACATCCTTTTTGAATTGTGGACACCAAAACTAGACAGTATTCCAGCAGTGGTCACACTAGTGCCAAATACAGAAGTAAAATAAACTTCTCCTTCTCAAGACTTATGCTTCCAAGGATCACATTAGCCCTTTTGACCAGTGTCACCCTGGGAGCTCATGTTCAGCTTATTATCCATGATACCCAAATCTTTTTCCACATCAGTTTCCCAGGATAGAGTTCCCCATCTTTAGAGCCCTGCAAATCTGCGGATATCTACAGGACATGTTTGCAGATTGGATGCGGATAAAAATTTTGTATCCGCACAGGGTTCTACCCATTTTGTAAGTATGGCCGACATTCTGTGTTCCTAGATGTAAACATTTATATTTAGCCATATTAAAATACATATTGTTTGCTTGCACCCAGTTTACCAAGCAATCTGTCCTGTCCTCTTCATTATTTACCACTCCTTCAATTTTTATGTTATTTACAAACTTTACCAGTGATATTATGTTTGCTTCTGGGTCACGGATTAAAAAGCATAGGGCCAAGGACCAATCCCTGTTGGACCCCACTAGAAACACACCTACTTGATGATTCCTCCTTTACAATAATATTTTGAGACCTATGTTAGCCATCTTTTAATCCATTTAATTTGTACCATCCCTCAGAATTAAAAAATGTTAATTTTATATTGTTCTAATTTTTTAATCCAAATGTCATGTTACCAAGGCAAATGCCTTACAGAAAAAGTCTATTAAATCAACACTATTACCTTTATCAAACAAATTTGTAATCTAATAAAAAAAAATACCAAGTTAATTTGACAGGATCTATTTTCCATAAATCCATGCTGATTGGCATTAATGATATAACCCTCCTTTAATTCTTAATTAATCAAGTTCCCTATCAGCCACTCCATTATGTTGCCTGGGATCAATGTCACATCAACAGGCCTATAATTACCTGGATCATCCCACTTACCCTTTATAAATATTGGCACAATATTAGCTTTATTCCAGACTTCTGGAACTTCCCCAGTGTTCCAAGACTTATTGAAAATCAATATTGATGTCCAGCAAGCACCTCAGCCAGCTCTTTTAAAAGTCTTGAATGTAAGTTATTTGGGGATGCTGATTTAAAATGTCTAATTTTAATAGCTGCTGTTTAACATCCTCCTGAGATACTAGTGGAATGGAAACAGTTATCATTGGAGGACTACATCTGATTTTTCCTAAATCCAGAACAGAAATATTTATTGAATACTTCTGCCTTTTCTATATCACTATTGATAATTCTACCATGTCTATCTAGTAATGGACCAGTATCCTTGTTAGGATTCTTTTTTGTTCTGTATATACTTTAAAACCTCCTTCCTTTTGTCCTTAGCTCTGCTGGTGATAGCTTTCTCCTTGTGTTGCTTTGCTTCCCTTATCAATTTTCTACCATTCCTAGCTTCTGTTTTATATTCATTACTATCACCTTCCCCTTTCTTCCATTTGTGTTATATTTATATAGCTGTTTTCACTTCCCCTTTAAGCCAGGTTGGTTTAAAACCCTTCCATAAATAGTTAGTTAGATGCACTCCTACACATCAGCCATTCTGGCTTGCTTACTCACTCTGCACAGGCAGATGTCTGCTGGTGGACTCTCACCTGGGAACTAGAAGTGTAACACCCCATGCCCAACATGGTCCAAGGAATCAAGCAGTACAGTCCACTTCTCAGGAAGCTGGAGACCCTTGAATGAATTAAGAATACACTGGACAGAGGCAGAGTCTGGGAATTCAAGGGGAGGAAGAAGGGGACACACATTCCAGTGCTACGTGGTCACAGGTTTGGAAATGATCCTGAATGATAAATACCACTGAAGTGGATGTCCAGCAACTTTGCCCATCATACCCTATCTACAGTGTCTGGGCTTCTTCCTCCACCACCCCTTTCTTCTCATGTTCATCTCACTCTGTAAATTGTGTTGTGATTATAGACTCACAGTGACCCACTCTATGCTGGTCTTTATCTAATTGTACTGGCCTGTGTCAGAGACTGGATATTGGACTAAAACAACCATTGGTGTGATCTGCTCTGCTAGCTCCTATGTTCCTAAAATTTTTTCTGTTTTTCTCTCAAACTCTGCAACAAACAATTAAGGTAATGAATTATGTTTGAAATTTTTGAGTCTCCTGGAGAATCCTACCAGGGATGCAGAACCCCTCATATAGATGACAATATTTTCTCAGGGATGGGCTGACTGCAGTGGAAGGAGACTTCTACACACTCCAGATTCCCTTCCTGGAAACATCACCAGCTTGGACCTTTCCTTCAACTCCTTGGCAATGCCCAGAAGTGGGACTTTCTTGATACACTTCCCTTCTCTGCATGCCCTAAATCTCTCCCACAACATCATTCCCACGCTCTATCCAGCAGTCTTCTCTAACCTCTGGGCGCTTCATCTGCTGGACCTGAGCAGCTGCAACATCTCCCACCTTCACCCAGAAGCTTTCCAGGGCTTGAGAAACCTGGACACGCTGCTCCTGAAAAACAATAAGCTTCAGATTCTGAGGCTGCCTGCGTTCCTTGCCTTCAGAGCCCTTGTCCATCTGGATCTGCGGAACAATGATCTGCTCTCTGTGGATGCAGTAGTCCTGCAGCTGATGGAAAGAACCCAACAGGTCCTGCTTCAGGGGAATCCCTGGGTCTGTAATTGCTCCATGTATCCTTTCCAGCAATGGCAACAACAAAGACGAGGTGAGGGAAGGACTGAGGGCAGGGCTACCATGGGTAAAGAGGAGGGACTGAAGGGCAAATGCCCTGGAAGGGTTCAGATAAGGATTACAGGAGTAACAGATGTAGAAAACCTATTTGGTCCCTTTTATTCCATCTCTTCTGATTAATGCAGGTTATTTCCAGCAGACTATTTTCTAGGGTTTGTCTAATCCTTTTTTAAGGGACATCAACTTAAAAAATCACTCTGAAAGTTTTTATGTATTGTGGTTAAAAGTAGAAAAGGAGTACTTGTGGCACCTTAGAGACTAACCAATTTATTTGAGCATAAGCTTTATTTGGCATCCGATGAAGTGAGCTGTAGCTCACGAAAGCTTATGCTCAAATAAATTGGTTAGTCTCTAAGGTGCCACAAGTACTCCTTTTCTTTTTGTGAATACAGACTAACATGGCTGTTACTCTGAAACCTGTGGTTACAAGTAATGCTCAAGATTCCTAGAAATCATGCATTAGAGAAAAGGCTTTTTTTCAGTTTGGCTAAGATTTTGAAAACTGGGCATCTAAAATTCACCTCCTAATCTACATTTAGGCACCTGAATAAATGGCCAGATTTCAAAAGTGCTAACCACTCAACAGTTCCTATTATCCACTTCAGTGGGAGCAGGACCTCAAACCTCAGAGCCCAGTTTTTGAAATGGACTAGATTTCACGGTGACGGTGTCCCTTTAACTGTTGACATTTCTATCACAATGTGAGACCTTGTCTACACTACAAATTAAGTTGATCTATGTTAGGTCAACATGCAGCCACCACAGTAATTACTGTGGTTTTTCATGTATCAGAGGGGTAGCCGTGTTAGTCTGGATCTGTAAAAGCAGCAAAGAGTCCTGTGGCACCTTATAGACTAATAGACGTATTGGAGCATAAGCTTTCATGGGTAAATACTCACTTCATTGGATGCATGCTGTGGTTTTTCATGTCCATGCTACCCTCCTTCTGCTGATGGTGCGCATCTTCACCAGGAGTGCTCGCACTGACTTAAGTGGGGCAGTGTGGGGGGCTCACAGCCAGACCCCACTCCCCCCTCGCTGCCCGGGGCTCACGGCCCAAGCTCCCACCTCAAGACTCGCAGCCGAGGCTGTCAGTGCTGGGCAGCGGGGGGCTCTGGCTGTGAGCCCCACGCAGGGCTGACAGCCAAAAAGCAATGTAAGTAACTCAGTGTCTACACTGACACTGCATCGCCCTATCTACCTCAACTTAAGTGCTACGCCTGTTGCAGAGAAGGAGTTATTAAGGCGATATAGCGGTCGACTTACATTGGTGGGAGCTACACTGTAGTGTAGATGCTTACAGAGCTTGGTCAACTTAAGCTGCCTTATGTCGACCTAACTCTGTAGTTAGGGTTGCCAGGAGTCTGGTTTTCGACCGGAGCACCTGGTCAAAAAGGGACCCTGGCAACTCCGGTCAGCACTGCTGACCAGGTTGTTAAAAGTCTGGTTGGTGGCACAGCAGGGCTAAGGCAGGGTCTCTGCCTGCCATGGCTCCGTGCGGCTCCCAGAAGCAGCGGCATGTCCCTCCTCCGGGAGCTCTTACATGTAGGGGCAGCCAGGGGGCTCTGCACACTACTCAAGAGCTGACTCTGCAGCTCCCATTGGCAGGGAACCACAGCCAATGGGAGCTGCGGGGATGGCATCTGAGGAGGGGGCAGTGCGCAGAACCACCAGGCCATGCCTCCGCGTAGGAGCCAGAGGTGGGGACATGCCACTGCTTTCAAGAGCTGCTTGAAGCAAGCACTGCCCGGAGCCTGCACTACTGACCTCCTCCCACATCCCAACCCCCTGCCCCAGCCCTGATCCCCCTCCCACCCTCTGAATCCCTCGGTCCCAGCCCAGAGTACCCTCCTACACCCCAAGCCCCTCATTCCCAGCCCCATCTGAGTCAGCATCCCCAGCCAGAGCCCTCACACACACACACACCCTGGATCCCAACCCCCTGCCCCAGCCCAGAGCTCCCTCCCACACTCCAAACCCCTCACCCCAGCTTGGAGCCCCCTCCTAAACCCCAAATCCCTCATCCCCAGCCCCACATCAGAGCCTGCACCTGCCAGAGCCCTCACCCCCCCTGCACCCCAACCCTCAGCCCAGAGCTCCCTCCTGCACCCTGAACCCCTCATTTCTGGCCCCACCCTGGAATCCACACCCCCAGCCCAGAGGCTGTACCCCCTCTCACATCCCAACCCTCTGCCTCAGCCTGGAGCCCCCTCCCATACGCCGAACCCCTTGACTCCATGCCCCAGCCTGGAGTCCCCTCCTGCACCCCAGAGCCCTCACCCCGTCTTGCATCCCAACCCCGAGCCAGCCTGGTGAACAAAGAGAGGTGGCAATGGTGTGAGCCGGGGGTGGGACCTCAGAGAAGGGGCGGGGCAGGGCAGGGCAGGGCAAGGGTGTTCAGGTTTGTGTGAATAGGAAGTTGGCAACCTTATCTGTAGTGGAAACCAAGCCTAAATGTATTTGGTGCTTTACAGGTAACAGGCAGCTCACACTGACAGCAACTCCTCCCCCTAATTTTGTTTGTTGCTGATGGCTCCATATTTAGTGATTTCTTCCCTTGTTTCTTCCATTAGGTTTCACTAGAGGCTGAGAACAGGCTAAGTGGGTGGGCATTAGCTGGGGCACTCACTTGTGCTCTTTATATAAGGAGCAAGGGTAAAGACCTCCCTCCAAAATGGGGATGGCAGGATGGGTGGGAAGGTGGAGCCCCTCCTCCTGCAACTGAGTCAGATTTTGTCTCCTAGCTGTGCAAGTACTCTGTGCCTCCCCACCAGAATTCCAGGGCCAGGAGGTCAAGACCCTGAACTTTCAGGATCTGGGCTGCAGGAGGAAACAGTGGTTTCCTCAGACTCCGCTTTCAGTCAGAAGAAAACTGCTGGCCACAGTGCAGAGAAATGACAGTAAGTTGTGCGGCTACAGGAGCTCTGGTCCCATGTGAACGCTTTAGTTCCCTATTTAATCAGTTTTCCTATCAAGTGGCATATTCCCAAAGTATATACCCCACTGATCCAGTATCTGAGGTCTGAATTCCTGCTCTGCCTCCTACCTAACCCATCGTGAGATTTTGGTTCACTCTGTTCTGCTAGGTTTGGATTCCTCTTCACTGTAATGAACATTCCTGGCAGCATCAGTAGCTGGAGAGGCTGCCTGATCTCTGCTCTGGACCTTGTCAGAGTGAGTGTGTGCTGTCCTGGCTGGGGACAAGGGCTGTAACAGTCATATCGGGTATGTCTGCACTGTAAGTAAAAACCCACAGCTGGCTGGTGTCAACTGGCTCGGGCTAAGGGGCTGTTCAGTTCTGGTGTAGATGTTGGGCTTGGGCTGGAGGCTGGGCACTAAGACCCTGCAATGGTCCCAGAACTTAGGCTGCAGCCTGAGCTGGAACATCTGCATCACAATTAAACAGCTCCTTGGCCTGAGCCCAAGTCAGCTGGCACAGGCCAGCCATGAGTGTCTAATTGCAGTATAGACATACTCTTAGAGCAGGGGTCTTCACAACAAATTTTTTGTTGTCAGAGTGCAGCCACCAACTCTTGCTGGTGGCCACATTGACACTTTTTCCTAAAATACTTAATTAACTTTTGGAAAAACAAATAAATATGCACATATACATGTCCAAATCATTGTAATCTATTTATGTAGGGTTTTTTTTATTGCAGACTCAATAATTAAAAATAATGCTGTGAAAAGTGATATTTGTATGTTTGTTAATATCACTTATCACAGCCTCCCAGCTACCTACTAAGTGTGCAGTGAAAAGTGACATGTTTTTCATATCACTTTTCTCAGCAACCACCAGGACAAATAAAAGGCTGGATGGGGTGGGATTGGAGGGGGAGGCAGTTGGGACCCAGGGCAATGGTGGGGGGGAAAGCACCGTTGCTGCAGAGCCAGAGGTTGGTGCCTGCTGTACAACCACACAAGCCCCTGGTGGTTAGAGGCCAGAGTGTGGGGCTGGAGCCAGGGTCTGCTCCTGAAGCCCCACAGCCAGGCTCCCAAAGTCCTGCCGGTGGAGCCTGCTGCACAGCCACCCAAACCCCATTGCCCCTCCACCCATGGTGGGTTGAGAACACACCTTTCTCCTGCAGTATTGTGCCCCACCTGTCTCCAGAGGCGGTGGAGGGCAGGGCATCCAGGAGCAACAGGGAGGGAGGGAGAGGGGCTGATGTTCTGTGCCCTCCCCATCACCGCCCAGGAGGATGTTGTGGCCACAGGAAAAGCCCCTGGTGGCTGCATTTAAGAAACTCTTTGTTGTCAGATAAAGCACCAGGTAATTTTACACAACAAAATAAGTTAACCTCATCAAAGCTATCAGAGACTCAGATACTACATGATAGGAACCAATACAATACAGGAGCCCAGAGGCTAGTTAGTGGGAGACTTATGAAATCTGAATGATCTCTTTCCATCTGAGCAGGATAACTATCCCTCCCCCAAGACCTTATGCTGAGCTGCGTTTTAGAAGAAAATTCTTCAAAAAGGTCAGAACCTACCCAGTGTTAGCACTTGAGAGAAACCTTTTACATTAGGAAAGCTGTGGCAGTTTACACCACTTATTCCAATGAACAGCTGCCATTTAACAGCTTCTCAGTATTTAATGAAATGAAACAAAACATTACTCCTTCCTCATCACACCATTTCCTAGACAAAACATTTGCAAATTCCTATATTCCATTTAACAGAGTGGAGAACCACCCTTTTGTTTTTCTCAGGATTATTCCATTTACACAAATCCTGGCACTTTACATTCAAATTATAAGAACATAAGAGCATAAGAATGGCCCTACTGAGTCAGGCCAAAGGTCCATCTAGCCCAGTATCCTGTCTTCTGACAAAAAGAAAAGGAGTACTTGTGGCACCTTAGAGACTAACAAATTTAACTGAGCATAAGCTTTCGTGAGCTACAGCTCACTTCATCGGATGCATTCAGTGGAATATACAGTGGGGAGATTTATATACACAGAGAACATGAAACAATAGGTGTTACCATACACACTGTAAGGAGATAATCAACGTGGGCCATTTCCAGTAGTTGACAAGAACATCTGAGGAACAGTGGTGGTTGGGGGTGGGGTGGGGGTGGGAGAAGAGATCAACTGCTGTAAATGGCCCACCTTGATCATCACTACAAAAGGTGTCGTCCCCGACCCACCCACCCCCCCCTTGCTGGTAATAGCTCACCTTACCTGATCACTCTTGTTACAGTGTGTATGGTAACACCCATTGTTTCATGTTCTCTGTGTATATAAATCTCCCCGCTGTATTTTCCACTGAATGCATCCGATGAAGTGAGCTGTAGCTCATGAAAGCTTATGCTCAAATAAATGTGTTAGTCTCTAAGGTGCCACAAGTCCTCCTTTTCTTTTTAGAGTAACAGCCGTGTTAGTCTGTATTCGCAAAAAGAAAAGGAGTACTTGTGGCACCTTAGAGACTAACCAATTTATGTGAGCATAAGCTTTAGCTCACGAAAGCTTATGCTCAAATAAATTGATTAGTCTCTAAGGTGCCACAAGTACTCCTTTCCTTTTCTTTTTGCGGATACAGACTAACACGGCTGCTACTCTGAAACCTGTCTTCTGACAGTGGCCAGTGCCAGGTGCCCCAGAGGGAATGAACAGAACAGGGAATCATCAAGTGATCCATCCTGTGTTGCTCATTTCCAATTTTGTTAGGCTTTATCTTCGCTGCCCATCCCCACCCAAAAAAAGTGTTAACTAAGGCACATTAACCATCCCACCTTAAAATCCTAGTGGAAACAAGGCACTGTAGTATTTACCACAAGGCAGCTAAGCTATACCCTTGCCTGTGACTGATCTCACTTTTATTATTTTTAACAGTGAAGACATAGCCAAAATTAGGATTTAAAGATGTGTTAGATTATCTGGATCCATCTAATTAAAACCTTCAAAGCTAAAGACAAAGCAAATTGTACTGTAACACTTGCTCCGCTGAGTCTTTAACTTGTGCTGCTTTCACTTGCTAAAGAACAATTTGCTTTGTCTTGACTAAAGTTTAAGGTTTTAATTAGATGGAGCCAGATAACATACCTTTAAATCCTAACTTAGACAAAGCCTTGGTAAATTGTCTCCCAGACATGGGATTATGTGTCACCAAATTATCTCAGAAAAAGTGTTTGAGGGTGTTAACTATTAGTAACTCTTCCAAATTCACTAATACATAAACTCCCTTGTTCCCCTTTAGTAATTAAACCCTCAATTTCCTTTCATACAAAGCTGTACCTGCTTTAATGGTGTTTTCTGTTAGGCTGAAAATTTCAACAGCAGGCAACTTCAGTTCTGAACACACTGGGCCCAATTCACCCTGCAATCATTTGCACCTATGCAAAGAGAATGTGAAGTGGGTGTAAAATGCTACCATTCTAATAGGCGCCATTAAGCAGCACCATTGTGGCTTACGGAGCATCATCCCTATGTCTATGGAAGTAGGGCCTGGCAATTCCTCACCCATCAGGAAGATACTGGTGAGACATGGGTATTCCCTGAACTACTCCATCTCTCTTTCCTCTGCAGCAATCACCACTGCAGCAACCACTTCTTCGCCTGCAGGGAAGGGAGGGAACAGCTGGCCATACTTGGTGGGCTTCCTTGTAGCAGCTGTTGGCATCTCCATCCTGATTGCACTGGCTGCAAAGTGCAAATTATTCCATATGAACTTTGTCAGCTACCGCCACCAGCCACTGCCTGACACCAGCTCGATGGGGGTTGCCTGCGGGGAGAACCAATCCATGCCTAGTGCTGCTGGGCTGCAACTGGAGGATGATGATGGCTTCATTGAAGATAACTACATCCAGCCAAGTGAACAGCTGCAGGAAGAAGACGAATTGGAGCCACATTTCTCCCTCTGAGACTGGGACTTCACCCATGCTCCCCTCCCAGCTGTCCCTCTTCATCTTCTGGGGCCAGGGCATTCAACTCCTGGCCTGTCATTTCAGCCCTCAGCAGCCCAGGACCTCCACCTCCATTCCTAGCCTTCCTTCTCCACTGAGTCATCACTATTCTTGTTTTAGCTTCCACTGTTTAACTTGGGGGGTGGGGCCAACATGAAAAAAGGAGCTGAGAAGTGGCATGAGAGAAGGGTGTGATGAGGAACGGGTCAGCATGGGAGAGGAGTTTATGGGAGCAGAGCGTACTGGGAAGCTATTAGGTTCCAATTTTATCCCTGGTCTAACAGCATCAACTTCAATGGTGTTACACTAGGGAAGAATCACAGAATATCAGGGTTGGAAGGGACCTCAGGAGGTCATCTAGTCCAACCCCCTGCTCAAAGCAGGATCAATCCCCAATTAAATCATCCCAGCCAGGGCTTTGAGTATAACCCAAAGTGCAGGGAGGTCTGTCTTGGCACTGAAAACAAACTGCTCTTTACTCATCTGTACATCTTTGCTTCAGTATTTGAAATGCCATAAAGCAAAAAGTGAAAGCCAGCCTGGTGCAGCCTTTGCTCCTAGCATGAGGCCATGAAGAGACCCCCCACCCTCAGCACCAGCCTCATGCACGCCAGCCTGAGCCAGAGCTCCAGAAGACCAGCATTGAGACGGACACACACCAGCACAGACACTCCTGAGTCTGGTGAAATTGCACAGAGAAGACAAAGGCTAGAACATCCCCCATGAGATCCTGTCTCTCTGCAGCCTCTAGTGACTCTGCTCTGGAGAGGGAGGTACCGCCCATCAACATGACAAAGCCACTAACCTGTGTATCAAGCCTGCTTTCTGATCCTAGCTCATATGAGAGCTCAGAAGCCATAGGAGGGGAAAAGCCAGGGAGAGTTATAAGAGGAGCATATGGGAAGCTGTCTGGCTGTGGTGCCAAACGGGCTCTGTTGTTTAACCTGACTGTGTGTGGCTGCACAGCATGTCTCACAGGTCACTCTCACGGCTCCTTCCACTTCAGAGCTGGACCTTGTTTGGGTTTATTCCTTTTGATTGGCTGCCCTCCTGGTTACAAGGCCCAGCACTTGCAGTGGGAGCTGGCTGCTGAGTCCTGAAACCAGTTTGATGATATCTCTAACACACAGTGATGTTATCCTCGTGCCTATTATCCTCCTGAGGGGTCCCGGCTTTACAGGCTGCATCTGTGGGGATTCTTCATCAAGGGTGAAATACAGCCATCTGTTTAAGAGAACAGGAGGCAAAGGAGAATCCTTGGCCTAGTAGAAACTGCACAAGCATGTGTCAACCTAATAAAATACACATTTTTTTAACTGTGTGCAGGGTGAAGACAAGCAGCTTCCTCTCTTTATTTTGTGAAAAAACCCTTCTTCCCTGCCAGTGTTACCAGGTGGGAAAGCTCATGCTCAAATAAATTGGTTAGTCTCTAAGGTGCCACAAGTACTCCATTTCTTTATGTGGAACAGCATAAACTCTTGTAGCACCCCCTCTCCACCTGGTTACCTCCTTTAATGCCAATCTGCTTACAGGTCTGGATTATTTTGGATCCTGCCACCCACCCAGCAGGGTGTATCTTCTTTCTTTTTTCCTATGAAATTATTTGGCTGTGCCTCCACCCCCCTCGCTCTTTTCTGGCAGGGTCACCAAGGCAGCTTGGGCAGAAAATTCTAACTACAGAGTAATCCACACTTACTTGGCAGATAGTTGGAAACTTCCAAGAAATAACACAAATACATACAATATATTCAACACAATAATTATATTAAACAGGAGACAAATACAACACAACAGGGTAAAACACTGTTTTTAGGGTCACTGGTGCCCACTCTGAAAATACTGTGACAAAGCTCTGTCCTTGCCTCCATGGGTTCCACGTTTCCTGGCTAACTAGGAGGCTTTTAACTAGTTTCAGCCAGCCCCTGATTGGCTTCAGGTGTCCCAATCAACCTAGCATTCTCCCTGCCTTCTGGAAAGTTCTTAATTGGCCCCAGGTGTCTTAATTGACCTGGAGCAGCTGCCATTTCACTTATCCTGGTACCAGGGATTTGTTTAGCCTGGAGCTAATATATCTATCTCCCACTACTTTTCTATAGCCATCTGGCCTTGCCCCGTCACAATACCCATGACTGATATATCAAATGTAAAATTAGTGTCCCACTACTACACGTACTTTGTTGCGGCCCTTGATGACCTATAACCACAAAATTCTTCTTTACAGTGGTTTTGCAGGGTGCCTGACTGGGTTGAGCAGGGTGGCTGACAGCCCAAAGGACTCACAAGTGGGAGAAGGTGGTAAATCCCTCCACAGGTGTAATATGCAGCAGGTTATAAAATCCTCAAACCCTTACTCCCTCGCTTGAGGACACAGTTCAGGGAGTAGGGGGTCCCCAAAACAAATTACCTGACTAACTAAAAGATGTGCACTCACAAACTTCATGAATGATCCTCAGGTTCGAAGATGACTCTGGACTCCTCAGTCACTGCAGAGGGGCTGCTCTCTGCTGGCAGGGATCCTTTTCAGGCAGGAGTCAGGCTGTGTCAGTCCCAGGATTTCCCCTCACCACAAAGGGGTGCAGGGCTCCTGGTGTAGTAGGTTACACAACTACACTAACATCCAAACTGTAGCCTCCTAGCCCAGCCTCCAGACACACACTCCGCAGGCAGCAGCCCTGGACTAGCACACAGAGCAAAGCTGACCATATGGTGACTGTTCTCACCTAGGGAGCTGGAGGGTGAACTCAGCCTGGCTGGGGAAGTTTCCCAGCAAACTCTACAAATTGGGAATCATCAGTGGGGAAGGAAAATCCCAGCGGAGGGATCTGCTATCAGGTCCCTAGAAGCCTATTCTCAGGGGGAACCCTGCATCCTGGCCTGGGACTCACCAGCTCCCCACACTGCCAGTCCTGCCCTTTTCCTGACTGGCTCTAGACTCACTCCAACATGGCTTCTCCCCTTTTCTCAACTCCCTGGGAGGGCCTATTGGTTGCTGGGCAGACTCTGAGTCTGCCTTGGCTCCCTCTCCCTGCCAGGGACAGTGTGCCTCTCCCTGAGCTGCCAGCAGACAGGGTCCCAGAAATCTATGTAATCTCCTTGGGGGTTACACTCCTTATGTCTTTGTTTCCTCTGTAGAATGCTATGTGCAAATATTAAATAATCAAACAGATTCATGGAACAGGATGGAAGTCCCAGAATTAGAACTGGGCCAAAACACTGGGGTTAATACACTACTCCTTAAAACAAAGGGTTCTGAAACTTTTAATCCTTTGGGGAAAAAAATCAGCTGATTCCAGGATGGATAGCACCAAGAAAGTAGCCACATTTTAGGGGGTTAGGGACACCATTAGGGATTTCTAACTATCCCCAGCTGGAATCCCCTCTTCCCACAGCCCTGCGATCCTGACGTCATCTCTGGCCTGCCATCTCCCCTTAGCATGATTCCTTCAGAAAGAGAATTATAGGGCTGGGATTCAAAGTGAGTCTGTTTCTACTCTTAAAATTGCCTTCCCAGTCTGGCTTCTTCCAACATAATTAACTGCTGGGAAAGCATTGGTGCCAACTATCCTGATTTTATCATGACTCACGATATTTGGTGTTTTCTTTAAAGTCCCAGCTCCTAGAATCACGTGAATTGTGTTTGACGGGAGATGTGTTAATTCTGATGGAATAAATGGGCTCAGAGTCAAAGGTGTTAACATGACCCATCACTGTACAACATGGTTTGGTGTTTTGAGTACAGAGAACGTGGCTTGCTTAGGACTTGTCTATGCTAGAAAAGTTTTTTTTCGCACTGGTATAGCAATACTAGCAACTGCTACTAGTGTAGATGAAGACTTTACTGACATAGAAGTGCTTCTGTCAATATAGCTTATACAAGTTCCCTGAATAGAGTAAGCTACACTGGAAAAGCACTTTTATGAGGGTATAAGTGTATGTAACACTTGGCTTATACCCATAAAACCTCCACACCCTTAATTGACATAGCTTTGCTGGTATAAATTTTTAAAGTGTAGACCCGGCCTTAGTTCCATGGCAAACACACTAGAAAATTAATGGCAAAATTTGGAGAATTATTGATTAAAATACAGAGAAAAAAAATCCAAAACAAAATAGAGCATTTTGAAACTTAAACTGCAAAACAATCCTAATCAAAATGTATCAAAGTTCCATTTCAGAGAGAGGTTATTGGTTAGAGTCCCTTATTTGTCCAACAGTTTTCCCTAGGTTAGGTCCGTGACTCATGGTGCCTGGGGCAGCCCTCACTGGCAATGCCAAGGTCAGGGCAGGCTGCAAAAGGGAGAGCAGATATTCCCAAGACTGATGGGTAACACTGAAGTTAAACCTCCCAACTAGTCACAAACTGTGCTTCTGATCCCCCACACCGATTATCAAGAAGGAAAAAAAGAAATCACACAGCCCCATTTACTGCATTCCAGTCTCTGGCCCCCAGTCAGCACCTAGGTCCAGTATAGTGAGAAGTTATTTTAAACTCTGCTCACATATGCAAAATGTTCTTCTGACCTCAGAAGGGTCAGCCACATTACCAGGTCAGTATAGGTTTGGATCTTACCCAAAATACCAGCCAAGTAAAAAGGAAGAACAACAAGAGAGATGTTAAATGGTAAAGCAGTTACATACATACAAAGACTTCAAAGTCCATATAGCAGGTTCCTAGCAGTACTGGTGAGTTTGCCGGCTTGAAAATCCCTCTGGATCACATCCACAGCTTCAAAGGGGTAGCCATGTAAGTCTGTATCAACAAAAACAACAAGGAGTCCGGTGGCACCTTAAACACTAATAGATTTATTTGAGCATAAGCTTTTGTGGATAACCCCACACCCCCCACTTCTTCAGATACATGGAGTGCAAATTACAGATATAGGCATAAATATACTTGCACATGAAGAGAAGGGAGGTACCTCACAAGTGGAGAACCAGAATTGACCAGGCCAATTCAGTCGGGATAGATGTGGTCCACTTGTTGGATCATATTAAAGAAGTTCTGTATTAAAATCACAAATGAGTTTGATTCCCCAGAGTTTAAATTCCAGGGTATTACTAATTAAGAGGTCTCTTGGTTTTTGGTACTGTTTCTCTCCCTCTATGTGTGAAACTTGCAAGCTGCTAATTGTGTTAGTACATTCTAAGACAGAGTCTGTTCTCAAAGCAATTCACAGAGAGAGAGACTCAAAGCAATACTCTAACAACAAAAACAGCACCCAGAGACTTTCATGCCCTTTTGTTGTATTAACAATTGTGATTAAAATAGAGATAGAGGATGTATGTGGATGGATGCTTGGTGTGGATAATAACTGAATGATCAGGGAGGTGCCAGCCTAAGAATCCAGCGTCCATCGGCTGAAGAAGGCGTCAAGTGGAAATAACCAGAGGACCCCCCCTCCCCCCCGGAGGGCAGACTGGAATCCACCCAACAGCCTCAAGAATGGGAGAACCAAAGAACACGATAACATCTTGGAGCCGTCAGGAATGTGCTATCTACTGATTGATTCAGCAACAGCATGATGAAGCAATTCCCATAGACTGGCATAGGAAGAAATTCCTATAAAAATAGACTCTAAAAAGTGAGAACTTTGGGGTCTGATTCTGCAAACCAACTTCCAGGAGCATCAGATGAGCATCTGACAAGGCCCTGCTCCCTCCTCATGTCCAGGCCACCTGGCCAGTGGCTTGGCATGAGCAACTCTAAGGCTGGTAAGTATGATAACAACCTTGCAGAACCTGTGTGTGTGTGTGTGTTTGTATGAATGAATGTGTGAATAAATATGCGATTGAATGGAATGTTATAACTATAACTAACTGCTTACTATGATTCTTTCTGTATTCACAATAAATGTGGTATTTTGCCTTTTTCCCTTTAATAAGATCCTGCTGGTTTTTATTTTATTGGTATAACACACTCCCAATAATTGATGAGGAAGTGTCAATACCAAGAGAAGGGAAATTGCTTTTGTAGTAAGCCAGCCACTCCCAGCCCCTATTCAAGCCCAAATTAATGGTGTTAAAGTTTGCAAAATGAATTGTAGCTCTGCAGTTTCTCCTTGAAGTCTGTTTGTGAAGCTTTTTTGTTGAAGGATGGCTACTTTTAAATCTGTTATAGAATGTCCAGGGAGATTGAAGTGTTCTCCTATAGGCTTTTGTATGTTACCATTCCTGATTTCTGATTTGTGTCCATTGATTCTTTTATGTAGAGACTGTCTGGGGTACATTGGTTTGGCCAATGTACATGGCAGAGGGGCATTGCTGGCACATATCTAGCACATGATGGCATTTATCTACATTAGTAGATGTGCAGGTGAATGAGCCCCTGATGGCGTGGCTGATGTGGTTGGATCCTCTGATGGTGTTGCTAGAGTAGATATGGGGACAGAGTAGGCAACGGGGTTTGTTACAGGGATGGTTCCGAGGTTAGTGTTTCTGTGGTGAGGTATGTAGTTGCTGGTGAGTATTTGCTTCAGGTTGGGGGGCTGTCTGTAAGCGAGGACTGGCCTGTCTCCCAAGGTCTGTGAGAGTGAGGGATCGTTTTCCAGGAAAGGTTGTAGATCACTGATGATGTTCTAGAGAGGTTTTAGCTGGGGGCTGTATGTGATGGCCAGTGGTCTTCTGTTCTTTTCCTTGTTGGGCCTGTCCTGTAGTAGATGACTTCTGGGTACCCGTCTCGCTCTGTCAATCTGTTTCCTCACTTCCCTAGGTGGCTACTGTAGTTTTAAGAATGCTTGATAAAGAACTTGTAGGTGTTTGTCTCTGTCTTAGGGATTGGAGCAAATGCGGTTGTATCTTAGGGCTTGGCTGTAGATAATGGGTCATGTTATGTGTCCTGGATGGAAGCTAGAGGCATGTAGGAAAGTATAGCGGTCAGTAGGTTGCCCTCCGCTGCCCTCCCTCCCTCCCTCCCCCAGTCCGCCCCACCCCTCACCCGCTGCCCTTCCTCCCTCCCTCCCCCCCCAGTCCTCCCCACCCCTCACCTGCTGCCCTTCCTCCCCCAGAGGAAGCTACATGCCTCTAGCTTTCCTACATGCCTCCGCCCCCACGCCCCGCTGCCCTTCCTCCCTCCCTCCCCCCAGTCCTCCCCACCCCTCACCTGCTATCCTTCCTCCCCCAGTCCGCCCCACCCCTCACCCACTGCCCTCCCTCCCAGTCCGCCCCCCACGCCCCGCTGCCCTTCCTTCCTCCCTCCCTCCCCCTCAGTCCGCCCCACCTCTCACCCGCTGCCCTTCCTCCCTCCCAGTCCTCCCCACCCCTCACCTGCTGCCCTTCCTCCCCCAGTCCGCCCCCCACCCGCTACCCTCCCCCCCCCTCCCACCAGTCCGCCCCCCCACGCCCCGCTGCCCTCCCTCCCTCCCTCCCCCCAGCCCCCCCCCCCTCCCCCCCCTCCCCCCCAGTCCGCCCCACCCCTCACCCGCTGCCCTTCCTCCCTCCCTCCCTCCCTCCCCCCCAGTCCGCCCCACCCCTCACCCGCTGTCCTTCCTCCCCCAGTCTGCCCCACCCCTCACCTGCTGCCCTTCCTCCCTCCCCCCCAGTCCGCCCCACCCCTCACCCGCTGTCCTTCCTCCCCCAGTCCGCCCCCACCCCCTCACCCGCTGCCCTTCCTCCCTCCCTCCCTCCCCCCGTCCTCCCCCACCTCTCACCCGCTGCCCTTCCTCCCTCCCTCCCCCCCCAGTCCTCCCCACCCCTCACCTGCTGCCCTTCCTCCCCCAGTCCGCCCCCCTCACCCGCTACCCTCCCTCCCCCCCAGTCCTCCCCACCTCTCACCCGCTGCCCTTCCTCCCTCCCTCCCCCCCAGTCCTCCCCACCCCTCACCTGCTGCCCTTCCTTCCCCAGTCCGCCCCCCACGTCCCGCTGCCCTTCCTCCCTCCTCCCCAGTCCGCCCCACCCCTCACCTGCTATCCTTCCTCCCCCAGTCCGCCCCACCCCTCACCCGCTACCCTTCTTCCCCCCAGTCCGCCCCCCACGTCCCGCTGCCCTTCCTCCCTCCTCCCCAGTCCGCCCCACCCCTCACCCGCTGCCCTCCCTCCCCCCAGTCCGCCCCCCACGCCCCGCTACCCTCCCTCCCCCCAGTCCGCCCCCCACGCTCCGCTGCCCCGCCCTTGCCGGCGCGAGGCTGGGGCGGGCGGCTCCCGGAAGGGCGCTGGGGCCTGCGCCGCTCGGGGCGGAAACGGGCCTGTCCCGGTAGCGGCCAGGGCGGCGCGGCTGGGCCGGCGGCGGGTGAGTCGGGCGGGAACGTGGCGGCCTGGCTCGGCTCGGCTCGGCTCGGGCTTGAGCCTGAAACCTGCCGTGTGCGGCGCCCCCCCCCTCGCGCCCCCCCCCGACTCTGCCTGGGGCGGGAGACCTGGTTCCCCCCCTCCGGATCCTGCCCTCCCCGGGTTTCTGCCTGGGGCGGGAGACGCTGCCGGCCCCCCCACTCCTCCCCGCTCTCTGCCTGGGGCGGGTGACCCTGGTCCGCCCCCTCCGGATCCTGCCCCCTCCCCCCGATCTCTGCCTGGGGCGGGAGAGCGCCGGCCCCCCCTCCCCCCTGCTCCCTGCCTGGGGCGGGTGACCCTGGTCACCCCCTCCGATCCTGCCCCCCCCGGCTCTCTGCCTGGGGCGGGAGACGCTGCCGGCCCCCCCTCCCCCTGCTCCCTGCCTGGGGCGGGTGACCCTGGTCACCCCCTCCGATCCTCCCCCCCCCCGGTCTCTGCCTGGGGCGGGAGACGCTGCCGGCCCCCCCACTCCTCCCCGCTCTCTGCCTGGGGCGGGTGACCCTGGTCCGCCCCCTCCGGATCCTGCCCCCTCCCCCCGATCTCTGCCTGGGGCGGGAGACGCTGCCGGCCCCCCCCTCCCCCTGCTCCCTGCCTGGGGCGGGTGACCCTGGTCACCCCCTCCGGATCCTGCCCCCCCCCCCGGCTCTCTGCCTGGGGCGGGAGACGCTGCCGGCCCCCCCACTCCTCCCTGCTCTCTGCCTGGGGCGGGTGACCCTGGTCACCCCCTCCGGATCCTGCCCCCCCCCCCGGCTCTCTGCCTGGGGAAGGTGACCCTGGTCCCAAGACGGGTGTCTTTTAAGTTGTCCTAGATATCTATGACAGGTTTCAGAGGAACAGCCGTGTTAGTCTGTATTCGCAAAAAGAAAAGGAGTACTTGTGGCACCTCAGAGACTAACCAATTTATTTGAGCATGAGCTTTCGTGAGCTACAGCTCACTGTAGCTCACGAAAGCTCATGCTCAAATAAATTGGTTAGTCTCTAAGGTGCCACAAGTACTCCTTTTCTTTTTCCTAGATATCTATGATACACAAGACAGGATTCACTCCTGATTTTGAAGAATAATCTGATTGGGTCTTCACTTACCTAGAGAAAAGCGTCTCCATCGGAGGTGGACCCAGTTTTACTTTACATCCACTGGCAAAAAGCATTAAGTGCCAGAAACCACTATTTTACTGTGAAGTTCTGGGAGGAAAGCTTTAGGTGATTACAAAAAGAAAAGGAGGACTTGTGGCACCTTAGAGACTAACCAATTTATTTGAGCATAAGCTTTTGTGAGCTACAGCTCACTTCATTGGATGCATTCACCACCGATGAAGTGAGCTGTAGCTCACGAAAGCTCATGCTCAAATAAATTGGTTAGTCTCTAAGGTGCCACAAGTACTCCTTTTCTTTTTGTGAATACAGACTAACACGGCTGTTACTCTGAAACCTGTCATTAGGTGATTATTTGCTGTGTTAATTTGATGGTTTGATTAAACTGATGATTTAATGCCAGTGTTGCTGCTAATGAACCTTATTTCAAGCCTTAATATGATAATTCCATTGTTTTGTCCATAATTGGTTTGTTAGAATTTGTAATAGCCTAATCTCTGTGGTATGTTCTAAATTTCATAAAAAACATAAGTTCCTTCAGTAAGTAATTTGGGTCAGAGCCCTAGAGAACTTCAGTATATCAGCTGATCCAACTCAGATCCCAGATAGCTCCTTCCTTAAATTAGCCTAGTTCTCTCACCTGCCATTCCTTGTGTCTGTCTAGACTATACATTTTAATAATTTTGGGGATAAAATTCCTGGATGCTCAACTCTTTCTTGCCTATGTCCGTAGGGTGAATAGATTCAAACATTTCTGCTTAGTGTCAGGAAGCAAAAGTTTCCACAGGTGCTCACTAAAGATACACATCCAGCTAAACAGAAGCATACACAAGGACAGAAATATGATACAGGCCAGATGGTGACCCTATCTCCCTCTCCTCTTGCCCACCCATCTGCTTCTCTCTTTCCCTTTGTTCCTCCCGTGTTTCAGCCTGTCTTTTTCTTGGGATTGCAGCCTTCAGCAGGGCTGTCACTCAGATGATGGGTGTAGAAATAAGATGAGTGCATTTTGATTCTTCTCTTTGTTTTGTTTCCAGGCCTTGTTTGGATGGGACAATGGCTCTAACCTTCATGTCCTTACAAGAATTAATCAGGGAGGATTTCCTGACCTGTAAAATCTGCTATGATCTCTACACAGTGCCAAAGATCCTTCCATGTCTGCACAGTTACTGCCAGCATTGCCTGGAACCACTAGTGAGGGACGGAGCCCTCCAGTGTCCTGAGTGCCGGCTGCAAACAGATGTCCCAGGAGGTGCCTCAAGTCTGAAAACCAACTTCTTCATCAACAGCCTCCTGGAGTTATTCCAGATTAAACACAACAGGGATTTGGCCTGCACAGTCTGCTCAGATGCCCAGAAGATCTTGACTGCCACTGCCCGTTGCCTAGACTGCAAGGATTTCTTGTGCCAGTCCTGCACTCAGGGCCATTGCTGCTCCCGTCTCACTCTTCATCATAAGGTGGTGAAGCTTGAGGAGTTTCTAGCTGGGGAATATGATGCTGAGATGAGGCTGCTGCAGGAGCTGTGCTGCCAGGACCACCAGCAGGAAGCTCTGCGATTCTTCTGTGACACCTGCAGTGCTCCCATCTGCAGGGACTGCCGTATGCTAGACCATTTCCAGCACAAGGTGGTCTCTATGGCAAATGCTGTGCAGAGGGAAAGGCCTTCTGTTGAGCAGCTAATTGACAGCCTGGCAGGAACGATAACATGCATCTCTGAGCAGGAAAAAGCTGTGGAGGAGACAATAGATAAGTTGAAAACATCAGGAGAGAACATAAAGGAGAGGATCACCAAATACGTGGATGACATTATCTCCTACCTCCTGGCCCAGAAGGAAGCCGTTCTGGGTGAGCTGTCTGCTTTTCTAACTCAGCAAATGGAAGGTTGTCGCCTGGTGAAAGAGGAGCTCCAGAGCCAAAGAGATAAAGCAATCAGCACCAGAGAGTTCTCTCAAAGGGTCCTCTATGTGGGAAAGGACTATGAGATCTTACACTTAGAGGGCATGATAAGGAATCGGATTCAGGAGCTCCAGACATATATCCCACGGAAACTAGAGAGCCAAATCCCTGAATTGGCCATAGCCTGGGATCAGCCGGAAATGCTGTCAGAGGCAGCACTCTTCAGTCTAGTGTTTCCCAGGGAACAACCTGAAGGAGACATGGAAACTGTTTTTGAGCCAGATAGTGAGGCATCTGCTTCCCCCAGTGAGGAGTCTGAGGATGACCCAGACTTGCCCTTGGACTCAGAAGACCAAGAAGACTCCTGTCCAGGCTCTGAAGAGAGTGCCCCTGACACTCCCGACAAGAACCCCTCTTGTTGCAGCAGGCGCAGTAAAAGGCCTAAGCGCGTGTGCACTTTTGAGGTAGACCAGTGCTGGTCCCAAGCAAAGCCCAATATCACAGGGATTGCTGTTCTGCCTCACGCTGGTGGCATTCTCCTGTTAGATCAGGAGAATGATGAGATAAAGCAGTACAGCGCTGGTGGGCACTTTCAGCAATCAATACCTCTGCCAGACTCAGATGGCGTCTTCTGTGGCATTTCGCTCTGTGGAGACGTCCTAGCTTGCTCTTCAGATTCCTTCCTCTTCTTCCTGACCCTTGAGGGCAAGTTTCTGCGCAAGTTGCTGCTAAGGGGATCCGAGTCTTCCTATGCCATCACCTCCTATGAGGACTCCTATATTGCAGTGAGTGAAGGCACACTCTGCTCCATCTCCCTTTACAGCCCTTCAGGACACTGCGTGGGCAGGGTGGCACCCACAGATTACCATGGGGGGAAGTTCCTTTTCATTGCTGTCAATGACTGGGAGGAATTCATTGTTTCAGACTTCATCAAGAAGCAGATTGTCATCATTGAGAAGTCTGGGCTGATCCTCAATGTGCTGAAGACCTCACACTCGCTGCTGACAAAGCCGTTCAGTGTATGCGTGGACGTGTCTAGTAACATTTTTGTGGTTGATCAGTTGAAGGTGATTAAATTTTCACCAGACGGTGAGACAGGGGAGGTAGTGTTGAGCAACCAAAGTCGGCTGAAGAGACCCCGTGTCCTTGCTGTGGACGACGGCGGGCGCCTTGTTCTGGTGCAAGAGGATGGTTACGTCCACATTTATTGTTTCTAGTTCACACCCTTGGAGAATGTGGGCTGAGTGCCCCAAAGTAGCTGGTTCTGTAACCTCAGGTCCCAAACCTTTATGTTAATAGTGCGCCAGAGTAATCCCACTAGTACTATCACCTCCAAATGCGTTACAGAGCTTTAGCCCTGACTCTGGGTGTCAGTGGAACAGACATGTCTGGGCAGGAACCTTTGTGCTCCAAGTGTTTTGAAAATACTCAGAGCCCAGGGAAGCTGGAGGTAGAAATATTATTTCACTAACTGAGATGAGATCCATATTGCTAAAACTTTCTACACTCTCCCAGCTCACCTGACAGTTTCTGCAGGGGATACTGCAATGTTATAGTCAGTGCTGTCAGTGCCTGAGGTGAACAGCTGGAGAGCTGGGAATAATGGACAGCTCTAAGGAAATGGCAGAAAGGAAATGCCTTTGCTTAATGTGCATTTGGTAGTTGGCACTGATAGATGACAGGTGCCTTTTGAACTGTTTCACGTTAAAGTAACATCTCGCTGCCCACCTTACCTCTGCTTTAGAGCTGTGAACTGATAGAACTCTGACTTTCACTTTAGCTGTTCTGGAGTGTGTCCCAGATTAAGGGAATGTTCAGAAAAATGACCTACTTCTATCTCTCAGCATCCCCTTTGCCATCTTAGCCCAGCCAGCCACTGAATTTCTCTCCCTCCTATCCCCCCGAGTCATAGTCCTCCTTGAGCAGGATGACCAAACATCACAAAGGAACCTGACGCCTGCCAGAAGTTGTGGGAACCTGGTCTGAGCATTGGAACCATCCAGTCCCACAAGTGTGAAAAGGTAAAAACGGCTAGAACTGTATCTAAAGATCCCAAGCAGAAAGCACCCAGCATTGCTGCAGCCAGGGACTGGTTAGTGCATCCATTGGGAAAGAGGTGGCAGTCGGCTCAGTTCAATGGTTGATGCAGCCTCTTACATTCCTTTTCTGTTTAGCCTGTTGAATCCAGGAAGAGCAGTCAGTGCTTGAGCAGGTCTCAGCTTTTGTTTATATTTAGGGATACAGACTAAAGCTTCCTATTGCATTCCAGCTCATCCTACTGTTAGTGTAAAACAATCATTTCTGTTTGAGCATTAACACTTTTATGTATTTGGATAATTAATAGAGCCTCATGCTTTCCCTTATGAACTGTTTTCCAATTTTTCTTCTTGTTTTGCTTTAATAAAGCCTGGTGCAATTATGAGTGTGGCAAGCCTCACTAAAGGGCATGACACTGGCACTGAGTCGTCACAGTGACCTGAACATAAGGGATGTTTGCTGGAGCCTTTCCCTGTGTGCAGGACAGGATGTGAGAGTACATTCACTAGTTTCTTTCACTGTGTTGGCAAGAAATGTTCAGGCTCTTACAGAGCAGCTCTGTGGGAGCGATTCAGGCATTTGTCTTTGGGCTTTGTTTTAACACTTGCTGGCAAATGTGCTCTCTTACACGGATTCTCAGGGACCTAGCCACGTGCACTGGCATGTAGACATGCATTTTCTCATGCGCACACACACACATTAGTATTCGTGTGTGTGCATACAAAATGACACAAAATTACTAAAGATAGTTAAGACCCAGGCAGACTGCAAAGAGCTACAAAAGGATCTCTCAAAACTGGATGACTGGACAACAAAATGGCAGATGAAATTTAATGTTGATAAATGCAAAGGAATGCACATTGGAAAGCATAATCCCAACTATACATATAAAATGATGGGGTCTAAATTAGCTGTTACCACTCAAGAAAGAGCTCTTGGAGTCATTGTGGATAGAAAACATCCTCTCAATGTGCAGCGGCAGTCAAAAAAGCAAACAAAATGCTGGGAATAATTAAGAAAGGGATAGATAATAGGACAGAAAATATCATATTGCCTCTATATAAATCCATGGTATGCCCACATCTTGAATATTGTGTGCAGATGTGGTCGCCCCCATCTCAAAAAAGATATATTGGAATTGGAAAAGGCTCAGAATGGAAAAAATCAGCAAATGGCAGGGAAGGGACAACAGGAAACTCGAGAAGCCTCATATGCATTCTTGCCCAAGCAACTATCCTTGTGCAGGACCTGATCATTCTTTGTGGGCATTCTAATGAGTGTTCTGATGTCCTAAGGCACCTCCTCATGAGAGTAATTGCTGATCTGATCTTGCCCTGTGTTTCACCAGAACAATGAGGACTTCTATGAACACTCGTGAGGATGACAGTCTGAAAGGTAGTGCTTTGTATAGAAAATCATTGGTCCCATGAGCGAATCACAGAAATCTCTTGTGCTTCCAGTGGATTGGCACATGAAGATAAGTCTTCAAATCAATTGATATAAAGTAATTCCCTTGGCAGATGGCCACTGCTATGGAATTCAAAGTCTCCATCTTAAATCTGGTTTCAGAGTAACAGCCGTGTTAGTCTGTATTCGCAAAAAGAAAAGGAGTACTTGTGGCACCTTAGAGACTAACCAATTTATTTGAGCATGAGCTTTCGAATCTGGTCTTTCTTATGAACTTGTTCAGGTGTTTTAAGTCCAACACTACTCTGTCCTCCTCAGATCTTTTGCGTATCAGAAACAAGATTAAGTAGTGGCCAGAGAACATCTCTGCCTCAGGAACTCTCTCTATTACATGGAATTGCAGAAGCTGATCTGTGGCCTTTAGCGTATTTTGCCTCTTGCTGATGCTGGAGAAGGGAGAAAATGATGATTTGGAATCTTTGAAAATTCAGTGATGTACCCATGTTGAACCACATTCAGGATTCATCTGTCCAATGTGAAGAGAGGCCATTGGTCCTTGAATTTTAATAGTCTCCCCCCATAGGTGTTGCTCATCTGAACTCTCTTGATTGTATTCAGGCAATGCTTCCAGTGTTGAAATTTGCATGGCAGGAAGAATGGTCGACCCTTTCCAGGCTTGGACTTGTTCCATTTGCCTTTGCTGTAGTTTCTTTCGTTCCTATAGGAGTAGCCACAAAAAGGATATGTAGACCTGTAATAAGGACGATTGTCCATTTTTCTGGATTTGGAGTTGGGAGAGTTCTTTTTTGATTTATCTGAGATTTCCACCAGCACTCTGTCTAATGGCTTCCCAAATAACCAACTTCCTAAATATTTCAAAGCTGTTAACATGACTTTGGCTTGTATATAGTGCTTCCAAGCTCATAACCAGAGGTGCTGTCTGGTCACCACATTGGAGGCCATGGCATGCGCTGAAAACATCAAAGTATCCCTGGTTGCATCAACAGTGAAGGTTGAAGCCATTGAGTTTTTTAAGTCCAAACCTAATCATGATTTCTTAGCCTTTTGTGGGCACAAAAAAGCCACAAACAATTTTTTTATTAAGCTTTTTCTTTCCATGTATGAGAACCTTGTGTCCAGAACCGTCAGCTCTCATGATGAATGAAGAACTACTATCCCCAGAAGAATCGGCCAGTTTTCTCTTGTGTCTGAGGTAGTTTCTTGAACCCTTTCCCCCTTTTTAAAATTTTACTCCTTAGGTTCTCAATCGCCACCTCCACTGAGTCAGATGAGGATTCCTGCAAACCTCTTCTGCTGTCAGGCATCTGTTATATTTGCTCTTTTGAGAGTGGATACTATAAGGGGACTCTGCTGCTGTTGCCTGGGGCTTACAGGTTGGTGACCGCTGAGGTAAAGGCACTTTTTGCACCAAATTCAAGAGCTCCCTAGTCCAAGAAGGAATTTCTTCCTGGGGGGGAGATTCTGTTCTCTCTTCCATGTAGAATTCCTGACATCCCCTGGAGCTAAGGGATGGTGACCAGATTGCCTGATGAAGAAAGGGAGGAGGGGATGATGAGACGTGCTGCAGGAGGGTGTGCACCCAAAACAGTCTTACTGGCCACTCCTTGCCCTGTTGGTGGCAGATTCAGATGGTTTCCCTACCTGGGCTGCTGCCTTTTTATGCGGTAGTTCCAGGCAGGAGACAAACGGCCTCTTTGAGGTTTGTCTTTGTTTTGTATTAATTCTCTCTCTCTCTCTCAGTAGTAGCTGGATTCAACCACCCTGCCAGTAGCTACAGGAGGGGGAGAGCTAGTCCCTCCTCAGTTATCCAGTCAGAGTAACAGATTGAGAATGGGAGCTGCAGCAGAGTGCCGGGAAGAGCTAGCAGGGGAGACCTACAGTTCTGGAACTTTTGAACAAGAAATGCTCCATGCACAGATGAGATTTACCTTCTGTCACCCTTCTCCCCCAAGGAACAGGTCTCTGTTTCTTAGAATTGAGTGGAAAAATGGCCTTTGCATCTCAGTATGTGAGATCGTAGCCTGTTTTGCCAGAGTGAAGCCAACATAAAACACCACATCTAGAAAACCAGGGACTATTATTGATGGCTGAGCTCCTTCTCCTGGGGAAAGGTGGTGTTGCTGGAGATAGCATAACTAGGGAGAGCAGCAGGTGCACTGCTTCCCATGCCCCGGAAAGACAGAACTGGTCTAAAACTCAAACCTCACCATTTATGTGGGGTCCAAATTATAGGTCTTGGGGTTACAATAATCAAATCACTTTCACACAAAAGATGAGGTGGCAGGGCATCACTGAGCTCTACGAGGGAGCAGCGTTCAGACCCATGGGTGACTACATCCCTCCCCTCTTGCATGCCAGAGCAGCCAGGCTAGCATGTAGGGTTAGCCTGTCTTTTCCATTCAGGGGTCCAAGTCTGGACAAATTAAACATATAAACTGTCAGGCATTGAAACTTGTTGAATAGTAACTCTCTGACGCCCTGCCTGCTTCCCTAGGGCCTACGTTTAGATTTTTTTTTTATAGTATGGTTTGTGCCTGCTTTTAATGTAATAAGGAGACTGAATTCCAAATTTGCTTTTTCATGTTTTTATATTTTTTAAATGAATTCCTAGGTCTTTATTTCTGAATTTATATTCTTCTTTTAAGGGGCATTTGGGCTATATCTGCTAATTAAAAAATGACAGATGTTTAAAATTAAAGATTGTTTTGAAGATAATGTAGAGGTGTGGAAAAATTTACTGCCTGTACGTCTCAAGCCACTTATCAGCATATTCAGTCCTGTGCCTAACTCCTCAAGCTAAATAATCAGGAGGCATATGGGGACGTTTTGGGGTCCTAGAGGCTGTCTTTTGCCTAGCAGGTTAAAACATGATATTGCTTCTCTTGGAACATAGGAGGAACAAGGAGAGCGGTCAGGAGCTATCTCAGAAGCATTCATCCAGAATTCATTCCAGGAAGCAGCTGAGACCGTCAAAATTCTGCACTTCATATACTAAAAGAATTAATTTTTTAGCACTGGATCCCCCTGCTATGCCTTAGCATTCCCAAGCCTCATACATCTAAGTTACATGGAAAGGGATTTGAGTAGCACAGCCCTTTTTTCTGGCCAGCAGAGCCTCCGCTTGCTTCCTGCTTCCTCTGGGAACACTAACAGAGTATTAGCGGCCATTAAGGAGGCATTTGCTAAGTGACTTATAAGTTGCCTTGAGTAGTCACTGTGCTCACTCTGAGGCAGAGAACAGTCAAGTGCTTACTTTGCCAGCGAGGAGGCCTAGAGAATTTTTGACACCTCTGTGGATCAGAGATTATATCGGGACTTGAGGAAAGTTAAAAATTAACTCTTTAATCCAAAATCCACTTTGTTCCTTCCCACTGGATTCATTTCCAAACACATGATTAAAGAACTGCTGTTTTGCCTGCGGGGGGTGTTGAACAGATTTGGGATAAACACCATGGAAGATTATGTGCAATAGTGTAGCAAGTCACTAGTGAACAAGTCACTGATATTTTATCCATGCACATTTTCTGCTCTAGGAAAAGCAAATGTGAAAGACAAAAGTAAAGCGAGTGGGAGTGCATGACTCTGGGATTATGTCTCATACATGCTGGATAATGTGTATTTGCACTGCTGTGCTCTAGGAGCTGACGGAAGTACTGTTTCTACCAGCAGCCCACAGGTTCTTTAGCTTACCAGGTAGAGGCTTTCATCTGCAGAGAAAGATCCCTAGTTCTATCCCCAGTACTGTATGTTTGCAGTACAGCTGATGCATAGGGTGGGACAGGTGCAATCATAAATAAGGCTAAGATTTTGTCATGCATATTTTTAGTAAAAGTCACAGGTCATGGGCAATAAAGAAAAACTAACGGAAGCCTGTGTGTGACATTTACTAAAAATATGCATAACAGCTCAGAGCTGTGAGGCCCCCCCCACTGCCCATGGCTCCCAGTGTGGGGCACCCCAGCTGCCCGTGACTCAGAGCTCTGGGGCACTGCCCCCTTCCCCACCCCCTAGCAGCTGGGAGCTTGGGGCACCTGCAGTTTCCAGCCACCATGGGCTGTGGGGGGACACTGCAGCTCCCAGGAACCACGGGGTCAAGTTATGCATTCCATGACCTCTGACAAAATTGCAGCCCTAATTGTGAGCTGGTTCTAGTCTCACTTGGGGGCAACACATGCCCTGGTAGGGCTCAGCCTCGGAGGCTCAGGAAAAGGGCTGGTATTCGTAGCAGCATAGGACTGAAAGGGACCTCGACAGGTCGTCTAGTCCAGTCCCTGGCACTCCTGGCAGGACTAGGTATTAGCTAGACCATCCCTGACAGGGGTTTGTCCAACCTGCTCTTAAAAATCCCCAATGATGGAGATTCCACAGCCTCCCTGGGCAATTTATTCCAGTGCTTAACCACCCTGACAGGACATTTTTCCTAATGTCCAACCTAAACCGCCCTTGCTGCAATTTAAGCCTTTTGCTGCTTGTCCTGTCCTCAGAGGTTAAGAACAATTCTTTTCCCTCCTCCTTTTATGTACTTGAAAACTGTTATCATGGCCCCTCTTAGTCTTCTCTTCTCCAGACTAAACAAACCCAGTTTTTTTCAATCTTCCCACATAGATCATGTTTTCTTGACCTTTTAATCATTTTTGTTGCTCTTCTCTGGACTTTCTCCAGTTTCTGCACATCTTTCTTGAAATGTGGCACCCAGAACTGAACACAATACTCCAGTTGAGGCCTAATCAGCATGGAGTAGAGTGGAAGAATTACTTCTCATATCTTGCTTACAACACTCCTACTACTACATCCCAGAATGACGTTGATTTTTTTGAACAGTATTACACTGTTGACTCATATTTAGCTTATGGTCAGAGATTCCTTTCCGCAGTACTCCTTCCTTGGCAGTCATTTTCCAGTTTGTGTATGTGCAACTGATTGTTCCTTCCTAAATGGAGTACTTTGCACTTGTCTTTATTGAATTTCATCCTGTTTACTTCAGACCATTTCTCCAGTTTGTCCAAATTATTTTGAACTTTAATCCTGTCCTCCAAAGCACTTGCGACCCCTCTCAGCTTAGTATCGTCCACAAACTTTATGTGTGTACTCTCTATATCATTAATTAAATCATTGCTGAAGATATTGAACAGAACCAGACCCAGAACTGATTCCTGCAAGACCCCACTTGTTATGCTCTTCCAGCATGACTGTGAACCACTGATAACTACTCTCTCGGAACGGCTTTCCAATCAGTTTTGCACTCACCTTTTTGTAGCTCCATCTAGATTGCATTTCCTTGGTTTATGAGATGGTCATGTGAGACAGTATCAAAGGCTTTACTAAAGTCAAGATATACCATGTCTAGCGCTTTCCCCCCCCCCCCCCCCCCACAAGGCTTGTTACCCTGTCAAAGAAAGCTATCAGGTTGGTTTGGCATGATTTGTTCTTGAAAAATCCATGCTGACTGTTATTTATCACCTTATTATCTTCTAGATGTTTGCAAATTGATTGCTTAATTATTTGCTCCATTATCTTTCTGGGTACAGAAGTTAAGCTGACTGGTCTGTAATACCCCAGGTTGTCCTTATTTCCCTTTTTATAGATTGTCACTATATTTGCCCTTTTCCAGTCTTCTGGAATCCCGTCTTCCAGCACTTTTCAAAGATAATTGCTAACGGCTCAGATATCTCCTCAGTCAGCTCATTGAGTATTCTAGGATGTATTCCATCAGCTCCTGGTGATGTGAAGACATCTAACTTGTCTAAAAAAGAAAAGGAGTACTTGTGGCACCTTAGAGACTAACCAATTTATTTGAGCATGAGCTTTCGTGAGCCACGCTCACATGGCTCACGAAAGCTCACATGGCTCACGAAAGCTCATGCTCAAATAAATTGGTTAGTCTCTAAGGTGCCACAAGTACTCCTTTTCTTTTTGCGAATACAGACTAACACGGCTGTTCCTCTGTAACTTGTCTAAGTAATTTTTAACCTGTTCTTTTCCTATTTCAGCCTCTGATCCTACCTCATTTTCACTGGCATTCACTATGTTAGCTGTCCAATCACCACCTCCCTTTTTGGTGAAAACCCTATTTATACAGAAACCCTGAGGTTAAAATCACATATAGGAACACAGGCTGCTTTGCATCATTCTTGTGAGCTCCCTTGGGGACCAGGGCAAGGTGCCATGGGTGAAGCGGACGCAGAGTGCGCCCAGGTTAATGGAAGATGAAACCTGATATGCACAGGCCTGCATTACATGAAGGAGGGCATGTACACAGATGAAATGGGGAGGGAGCATGTGGGGGGAACAAGTCCATGTGTTTGAGGGAGAGGGGAGACAGGTCTGTCAGCAGGGCTGCCACGCCCTATTCAGACTTTCCTGTATCATGCTTACCCCTCCAGGAGACTGACTTGAAACTGCTGCCAGATTAAACTGAAGCCTGCTAGACTGGGCCATAAATCATCCCAGCTCATGCTTCTCATTCAGCCTGACTCTGGTGCAGAAGCGTGCAGCCCCTGGGCTGAGCCCTCTCATGCAGGAATCCAGCACATAGTCCCAGACTGCAACATGCAGTTTCAGTACCACTTTATTATCTTTCTATTCACACAACACAGGGGCGGAAAAACCCGAAGTGAATGAAACAGTAACACTGATGCCCTAGGAGGGGGTCTGTTGCTGACTCAGGGATGCCTGCCCCCAAGTCAGATGTGTCCAGGGAAACAGCGTCTCACTGTCTTTTGTGAGTGGCCTGTTCAGTTCTTAGTGCACATGCGAAATGTACAACTGTTATATGGCCCCCTGACTTCCAGTGGGATCGTCACAGACACGTGTATGGAGAGATTGGGTGCCGCAAGCAGGGGCACAGACTTGAGTGTTCATGCAGGTGTGAATGCAGGTAGAGACACAGACCCGTATGCACACAGGTGCAACTGCATGGGTATACCGATGGGTAGAACCATGCACAAGCAGGAAGACATATGCACACACATGCATTCATACACAAACCATAATAAGCAGAGCGTAGAGAGACATGTGGCTATGGCTCAGCTGCAGTGTGGATGTTTTTATAAATAATAGATCTTGCCAGACAAATGGCCAAGATTCTATTCCCAGCTGTGTCATGAGCTCTGTGTGACCTTGAGCAAGTCATTGCTGCACTGGGCCTCTGTTTCCCTTCCTGCCCTTTGTCGTGTCTATGCAGACTAAGCTCTTTGGGCCCAGACTGTCTCACTACAGTATGTACAGCATTTGGCACAACAGGGCCCCAAGCTCACCTGAGGTCTCTGAGTGCTAAGCTAACAAAATGGCTTGCTTTTTTTGACAGACGTACATTGGTGGATGAAGGGAAGGCAGCATCTGGTGGGAGCATGCAAAAGGTGACTTGTCTTAATTAGTGACGAAGAAGAGGGAGGAAACAATATCTTAATAAAAGGTGCAGATGATCCTAACCTGGAAAGAACTGCAAGCCCCAGACAGGCTGGAGAAATGACTGAGAGGGACTTGCAGCGCTTAGACTCAGACAGAGACTAACAAAATGAGAGTTTGCCTGGATACGTGCAAGTAATTAAACTGGCAAAACATCACAGAGTGGTTCAGTGGCAGGGAGAGAGCTGGGAGAGGCCGAGTGATACAGGAGTTTTCATTAGGAGCTCGCGGCATTATAAGCCAGCATGGTTTGGGGTTGTACCCAGAAGTATCGTTCCAAAGTAAAGCGGGAATAGTGCTCCTCTATACATGTGTATATGGCTCTGGTACAATTACTCCTGAAATGCCACACTCAGTTCCAGGAACCACAACCCCCACAAAGAGTGCCTGCAAACTGAAGAGATTTCAAAGAGCATCAGTGATCAGGGCAGAGGGGACAAGTTTGGGGGAGCAATTGAGACAGCTAAATCTGTCTTGTTTAGCTGCTGGGGGAAAGGGGATCCTGCTTAAGGGCTGCAAATATATCTCACTGTAATCAAGCCGTACATGTCAGGGCATGTGCTTACTACACAGCTATAATTTGCAGACAGGTCACACATCCCCTCAAACACAAAAAGACATCACACATACAGATGCATTTTTGCACATATCCAGCACTTGGACTCATCTGTGCCACTCACATCAATGTATCCACCCCACCTGCACTGCTATCTACATGCACAATCCCTCCCCAGTGCCAGCTCCCCACAGTAGGGTAACCAGATGTCCCGATTTTATAGGGACAGTCCCGATTTTTGAGGCTTTTTCTTATATAGGCACCTATTACCCCCCAGCCCGTCCCGATTTTTCACACTTGCTATCTGGTCACCCTACTCCACAGTCACGCATAGGGATATGCACATGCACACAGCGCTGCACTCACACCCAGCAGGCAACAGGGTGCTTGGGCCCACGTCCCCCTCTTTGTTAGATATCAACGCTTGCAGCAGGCTGCTCACCCTTCTAGCGGTGGGGACATGGCTCCATGCTCAGCTGCTGGAGGGAAGCTTGGGACAGGTCACCCAGCAGGCTTGGTGTCTCAGGGACACGTGCACAAACTCACAGTGGCACAACTTGTTTGGAAACAATCCGTGCTAGGACTTGGATCCCCAAGGAGCAGCTCTACCCCAGAGCTGTAGGAGACTCCTCCACCACCAGCAGTCATAGCCCTGCCAGCCAGTAGAGTGCAAGACTCTTACATGAGAAACAGATTATTTTAGCAGCAAACACTTCAGGATCTCCCCAGAGCAGCAAGGGCTTCTCAACAGGGCCAGGCCCAGGACATGCACACTTCCTCTTCGTCTTTCAGAGCAGGGATCCCGGTGTGTCAGAGGGATGGACAGCAAATGCCACAGAAGACTTTGCTGAGGTAAAAAATAAAATAGGACCAGTGTCCTACTTGTAAAGTTCCAGTTAAATCAACTCAGGAACTGCCTTGTCTTTGCCAGGGTTCAGGCCAATTGGCCTGAGTAAAGTGCAAATGCCAGTCTGCTTTCAATGATAACTGCAGTTGGGTCAAGGCAACACTCAAATTTCAGCTCTTCCCCAGGTTAAGATTAGCTTGACCCTGCTGAAAGGGTGGCGGGCATGGGCTTGCCCTGCCCCAGGGTTAGTGCACATTTGCCATACTGAAGGGCATGTTGGCTCTGCCCAGGCCTTAGATCAGGTTGGCCATGCTGGAGGTGGTGGCAAGCCGGCGGTTCACAGCGAGTCGGCTGGAGATGGTGAAGATGCTAATGTCACCTGTGCCCAGTCTCCTGGGAGCAACTGGGCAGCAGGAGGTGCTGAGCACATAAAGCAGGAGGCAGAGTAGAATGGCAGCCCCAGCAGTCATGAGGATGACTCCACTGGAGAACATGCTGGCCAGAGGCCGTGAGGGGCTGAGCTGCATGGTCGTAGTGGAGAGGACAGTGAGGACCACGCCACAGACCAGCAGAACCAGAGCGCTAAGCAGCAGCATCACACAGTCCGAAAAGCCACCACTCTTCAGCAGCTCAATTTGGTTCCGGCTCCGGATGCAATTCATGTCCTGGATAGCAGAGCTCAGCAGCTGCTTCAGCAGCACTAGCAAGGCCAGGAGGCAGAGCGTGGTGCCCACAGCCAGCCGCCACTCCCCGGACCGGCTACTGGTGCTATAGAGGAGGACAATGCCCCCTGTCCCGCAGGCCAGAATTAGCACCACGGCCACCCCATAGCACAAGATGGATTTCTTAGGGTCCTTGAACCACCACAGCTCGACATGCTCCTCAAGGATGTTCCTCTGAATACGGCCGGCATCCGCGGGGGGTCGGGGCACACTGAGTTGCTCCAGCTCAGGCATGGTGGGTCCTGAGGGGCCTCTAGGCTGGGCAGGACGCGCTGCGATGATCACACAGATGGCGCCAGGTCCGTGGCCGGGGAGGTCAAAGCCACAGCAGCTGTGAAGGCTGTGGCATTTCCTTGTGAGGCAGGCAGCTTGTGTTCTTGCCCTCTGATGCCCTGTGGCCACTGAATGTCAGAGCTCCAATACAGCAGGGATGCCCATCACTGCATCCCCTAGTGAGTTACGGGCTGCACGCCAGGGGAAGTGCCAGGAAAGACTCTGGCTGAAGGGCAGGACAATAGAGCTTGATCTGCGGTGTCCACTGTAGTGAGCTGATGCACCTCCAGAGTGTCATGGGGAGTGGCTGGTACTGAGTCCTCCAGCCCCCTCCTTGTCCTAGTTACTTCATCTGAAAAAGGCCAGAAAAGAACAAAGTGTAATTGACCAAAGCCCCTGCTCCCAAATACCCCCCACCCCACCCCCGTCCCCAGTTCCCAGGGCTGGGGGTCAGAGACCTTCCTCACTGAAACCCACGCTCTGTGGCACAGGCCAGGGGACCTCCCCCCGTGCTGAGGCTCCACTCACTGATGCATCTGGGCATCCCTGTTCAGTGAAGCTTGTCTCAGGTGATACTGCCGCTTTGGGTCTTCTGTCTCTCCAGACTCAGTGGCTGCAGCGCTGCTGAGCCCAGAGACTGCTCAAGTGTCCCTGTGCGTTCCTCGGCAGGACTGCAACTGCAGCTGGGCACCGGCAGCACGGACAGAGGCAGGTCCCATGCTGTGATAAAGCCCCATTCACTGCCCCAGCCTCACATGCTCTCTCATCAGCAGCTGCCTCTTGTCACCAACTGGCTCTCCAGCCCAGACTGTCAGCAAAGGGTTGGGTCCTGGGCTTAACTCTTACAGTCTAGTCCCAACCAATGGAGGAAAAATGAAACAATGAATAGTAACTGCTGAATTGGCTGTGCCTTTCCGTCACCCCAATCCTTGGGCTGAGCCACCAACACACTTCCCTTGGATCATTGTCTCAGGCCATTAGCCCAGCCTGGATTACTGCCCAGGATGACAGTAAAGGCGCTCACGTTTCCCCAGACACTGCACCACATACAATTCATGGTTATTTCTCATGTTTCCACTCCCCACATCCCTGCAGTTTCCCTGGAGAGAGCTCCCTCTGCCTGACAGACAGGTTTGCAATGTGCGCACGACGGGAAGACTCAGCAATTCTGCATGCATTTTCTAGAGTCTTGGTGCGCCCCCGCCTACGTGAACACACACTTAAAGCATGTGGGGTGCAGAGGGGAAGCTACGTAATCTTATGGACTTGACTATGCAAATAAGCCCTCAGCTCCTCCCTGCCTTGCCCTTCCCTGACACCTCACAGCCCTTCCCAGTGGCTAGGGACATCTGTTGAGCAGAGTCTGCACTGTAAGCAGAAACCACCTTCATTACTCCAGCAGCAGATTCCCAGCCTGTTAGAGGCCTCAGTGGGTGTAAAAACCAGCATGGGGGTGCTGGGAAACGGAGGGGCATGCCAGAGCTGTGGAGAAGAGGGTGCCAGGTACGTGTTACGCTATGGCCACTGTTCCCGCTAAGTTGTGCGCATGTGCGTGCACACACAGATCCTAAACCCCATGCACACGGTGAAACACCGCGCGCACAGAAATTTGCACAGAAGCACAACAGTTTGCACAGAAGAAATTTTTTGCACACACGGCCTGTCAAAAATTAGAGGGAACATTGGCTATGACTATGCTCAGTTGTGGTTAACAACTTGGGATCCATGTTCAAGTTCCACTTACACAGGTTAGCGCAGTCCCAGGGGACCATCCAGCACTTTAGGGAGCCGTAACTGGGCTCCCAGCTAGCCCCCTCTTTCCTACTTAATTGACACAGAGACTCTGGCTCATGGTATCTAAACATCTCAGAGACAGTAATGGAGACACCCTCGCAACCCCTGTAAGGCTGGGCATTATTAGCTCCATTTTACAGGTAGGGAACTGAAACCTGAGAACCTTGTGACATTTCCCAGTCAAACACAGGGAATTTATATCAGCGACAGGACCCGAAGCTACAATGCCAGGGATCTAGCTGGGAAACTTACCCATAAACCCAGCCTTCATTCCCAATTACAAATTCTCCTTCCACCCAGCCTTTTCACCAACTGTGAAAGGTCCTTGTACCCCCCCTACCCCGGGTCCTTGCACTGGGCGTTGTCCAGTTAGCTGTGTCTGGCTGGGACTGAAGGGGACGGCCACATAGAAACTAGTCAAGCATCAGCTATAGAGCAGCAAGGAATCATCTCACATAGCACTCTGCCTGTTATACAAATAGCACTAAGACCATATTACTTGGTGCTGTGTGTGCTCCACTGGCTCCTATTTTCAGTCTCAAATACAATTCAAGGCTCCAGTCCCAGTTTTGGGGACCCTTATAGAACAGAGGGCTGAGCACATGGTTGGATCTGCAGGCTGAGCTCACTGCACACAATCTCCATTCTCCCCCACAAGCTCCCAGTGCGCCACCCTGCCATCCCCTTCCATGTCTGGGCCTCTCTACAATCCTCCTCCCTACCCCCACCTGCATGCCAGGGGCTCTGTGTAGCCCCCACCCTCCCCTACCAATGTGCCCCATTCTCCCTCCTCAGCTTGGGCTCTATGTACACTCTATTCACCCCTTACCATCCCAGACTCGTGCCAGGAGATGGGTGAGGGGGCTGCACCATTCTGGATGCAAGAAGTGATTTCCTTGGCATCTTAAACAGTGGCCACGTGAAGCATCTCTTCAGCTAGGCCAGGTGGGCAGGGAGTGGGGGGTGCTGGAGCCAGACACTGCCTGACAGTGTCAGGGCAAACGCTTCCACGTTCCGGCCCTGGCTGTGATGGAGCATGAGATCACTGTTAAAGCGATAAGCACAACAGCCATTGTTCAAGGCTCTATACCAGCTGGTCACATGGCAGGGCGGATTCTGAGCGCTGTTCTGCTTACAGGCATGTAGCTAGTTGCGCTGCATGACCTTTGCTCTGTGATAATCCTCTGCTGCAGCTGTGGAGTTTGGACTCTCCTGTGAGTGACTGGATCCAGAACACAGAAATTCCTAGTCTGAGAATTTTTGCTTGGTCTGGAGGCATGTAGTATTCTTGATCAGACTCACAGTCTGGCTGTATTCAAAACAATTACAATCCTCCAGTTAGTGGCCAGAGAAGCAGCTGTGCCTGCCTGGGACCAGCTCTGCTATTCGCAAACACAGCAACAGAAAAGACATGTGCTGCCTGCCCCTATACGCTGTGTGTTGCTGGGATGCATGCACCCTGCAAGGTAAATGCACTCAGCCCTGCAAGGGCCTGTTTGACTCCAGGGGACATTTCTGAGCTGGTTAGTTTAGATGGGGGCTGAACTGTGCAGGGTTAGGGGTGAGCTCTGGGCTTCTGTCTGAGAGCCCCCTTGCAGTTTCAATATTATTCTAACATCCAGTCTCATAGAGCCCAACTACACCAGCACCATAACTGCATGTCCGCATCAAAAGCACAGCACCCTTTTCCCCTCGCATTGTGCTCTAGGCACAGAACTATGCTGTCTCACCATTACGCCTTTCACACAGCTTCCTTGAGGCCTTTGGACTGCAGGAGTTGCAGGAGTTGAACTCTTTACATTTTATTTTTCTCCTTTGTTGTCTCACTCATCACATCAGAATAGTCTGCTTGAGCACGGGGGGGGGGGGGGGGGGGATGTGAATCTCCACACCTCCATACAGGAGGACAGCTTCTTTCCACAATAGACTGGAAATGCTGAAAAGCTCTTTCTCTTTGCAGCAATTCCCCGCTTCCTCCAAACTTAGCATGGAATAAATAGGGACACAGACACTCTTCAGAAAGTCATAGATTTTAAGGCCAGAAGGAACCATTAGACCATCTATTCTGTCCTCCTCTGACAGACCATTAAATGTCACCCCCCTCCCTTGTATTGAGCCCAGTAACTTGTGTTTGAGTGAAGACTTTTGACTTCAGTGTTTCCGGCTGTTATACATGGGACAGGAAGAACCAGGGGCCCAGACCCCATAGAGTGAAAGAGATTTCAGCTCAGCTGCCACAGATGGCTCAGTTGTTAAAATACTTCCACACACTCTCCTGTTGTATGGTGTCAGGTCAGCCCAGGAGACATTCAGAGGCGCTTTCCGCCCCTCCCCAACCCAATGTACCGGAGGAGAGAGACTACTAGGTTATGGGATTGTTTCCAGTGCTGCTGTTGGCTTTTGGACTCTTTTGTACAGTTTTATGTGCCTGATAAGGAATATAGGAGTATGTAGGGTGTAGGGATGCATAGTTATTCTAGCTCAGAATCCCAGAGGAATTTGTTGCATAAAATTCTTATTTTGCAACATCCTAACATTTTCTAAGCTGCAGGAAGTTGCACCAGTTATTTTTAAGCTTCCAGTCATCATGGTGTCAGTCCTTAAATATGGCCCCTCCTCCCTCCCCGCCCCATATAAAATTTTTCCTTCTTGGTCAGGGCTGGGCACAGCACATATGGGGATGGCAGTCATGACCCCTGGTCACACATACACACACTTTGTGGATTGATCATGCCCGAGGTGGGGCTTAGAGTGGAGGGCTCATGGTGATGGGGCTCAGTATGTGGCAGCCTTCTATAGCCAAGTAGATTAGGTTTGTTTCACTTAATCAAAAAGGTTCATGATTGCTCTGCTGAGCGCTTGAACAGACCCCACCATCATGATGCCAGAGCACCTATTCCAGTGCAGATCTTGCTGAATGAGGCCCATTAAGCAACAAGAACCACCTGAAGCTGAAGTGTCAGGCAGAAAAGGGTGAGGCAGGACAGAGGCTACTCCGGACAATCGGCGGTCCTAGGCAGACTTCAGTACGCAGAGCCCCGCCCCGCAGCAATCCCATAGCCATCATTTAAGAGAGATGAATTGACCATAAATCGTCTACATGAAACGGGCCTAGATCAAAGCACACTAAGGACCTGTTAGTGTGGGCAAGCAGGGGTACACCCTGCATA